ATTTTCTACGGGGCGTGATTGCCATGTTCGGTGGAGAAATCGACGTGCCAAGCGCCTTCCATGCAGCAAATCGTCGCGCTTGGTCTGCACACCCACCAGTTGCATCGGGCTCCACTTTAGATGTGCAGGGCCCCACCGATTGTTGACAGGCCCTCTTTCCGGGCCCCCACTTCAGCAATCGCGAACCTGAACCACACCTCCCATCGTCGAACTCATTACACAGCCTTCCCATCCAAGCGCGCACGCGCAGGCAAGAGTAGCAACGCTCCCGTCCCCATGGAGGTAAGAATGGGCATGCTACCAACTCACGCAGCTGCAGCCGCAGCCCTTGAGCCCAACCGTGCATTTCCGAAATACGGCGCTTCGGAAGCAATAACCTCAGTCAACCTTCCTCGTCCGGGTTGATGAACTCGCAGCCGAGCAACTTAAACCAAGTTTCCAAGCGCCTGTTCCTCTCGCTGTCGCCATCCTCTTCCTCCTCGGATCGTTGCACTATGCTTCCTCACTTGTCGGGCCTAAAGCTCACAACAAGTTGTCGGTTACGTTCCTTGCCCAACTTAGGCTCTTATACCCATTATGGTTACAATTTCACCCCGAACACCCCGACGGTTCCGGCATTCCCAGAACGGCCGAGATGGCAAAACCGGGAATTTCGACTGTTTACCGGCGAATGGGGGCTTGAGCACCGATGCCTCTTCGCTTTTCGACTCTAACTCAGGCAGTTATCCCCTTTCCTCTACATTCCACATGTTTCAACTTGAGGAAATCGCCTCTCATCATTTTCCGGAAAGTAAGGGCAGTGAACTGCGGCGGGTGCGCTGCGTCTGCTTGCCTTGGCAAGTATCGTCCAGACTGTCGCCCCTCCGCACCCGGTCACACCCCTCTTCCCCCCTCTCTCTTCCCCCCCCCCGGCGCGCGCCCCCAAGCGCAGAGGCCATACGCACGAGAACAGAACCCACCACCTTGCAGAGCGCCTTCGCGCGAGACGTGGAGCTAGCACTTCACAGGCTTCCGTCAGGCACTAATGATGTCCGGGCTAGACTGGGGATGTTCTCGGCCTTCAAGCGTAGTTCTGCGACCGAGACCCGGCGCAGGGCGTCCTATGAACTATTGCGCCGAGCACCCGCCATGCATGTTTGGCTCCCCAAGTATGGCTTCCCCGGGATGTCGTGGGTTGAGGTGGCCCTCCCTCATCCGACAGGTCGAAGGTTCATGATTTTGTGTGCGCCTTTGCTGCCCGACGAACCCCTTACTCACCCTCACGGATCCTGGCCCGCGCGAGATGCCTGCTCTTTCCAAGAGGCAGAACAGGATATCCCTGCTGTTGTCGGACTTTCTTCTGCAAGCGCCGGCGCATGTGGACTTGCGATCGCCCTGATTCGGTCAGCGGCATGTGGAGGGGGTCCGAAGCAAAGGCGGCAGATACAGATCGACTTGGTGCGCTGTGAAACGGCGCTTGGACCGACAACCCGCCACGTTCGATGGCTTTAGTCCTTGGTGGAAAACAACAGTCTTGGTGGGATTTCATGCGGCATTCAAACAAGCCGGAGATGTGCATTGACGGGCAGGGCAATGTTGTCGCTTTGGTGACGAACATCAAATCCAGCCATCGGAATTGACTTCGCGACTGCGTCTCTGCGCGGCGGACCCGACGGGCCTCTCCCCATCTGCTTCGGATGACCCCTGTGATGAGCAGGCACTCGGGAGGCAGCGTCTCTGTGTGCTGCTTTTACAAAGGGGTGGAATAGAATACGCTGGCGTATTGGCCTTGCTCTGCAGCCTCCCGGCCCGCTAGAAGTTTCCGACGTAAACCCTTTAGTTTGTATGTACACATCAGGGGCGTGACCGAGGACGACTGAACCTCTTGATCATTCCATCGATGCCATTGTAGTCCTATGCCTAGAACCTCGTAAACGCCCGCCTGGTGCCGTTCATAAACATACTAGCGCTCGGGCCCCCGGTTCCGAAAGCTGATTCACATAGTGGAAACGAGGGTTCGGGATTCAAGACGGTTGTCGACGACTCGGGCGGTTAGTTTCCCCTGCACATCGATTACAAAATATTCTCCCACACGTCTCTCAAAACAATTGGGAATTCGTCAGATGGCCCAGCTTTAAAAATCTAGTCTTTCATTGCAGTACTCATGAATGTACTTGGTTCCGTCGGGCTAATTAACAAGTTTCAGCTGGAAGGACTAGCTGTGGAGGGAGCTTTCAGCATCCCGGCTTCAGATTACACCCTCCAATTCCGAAGAGCTTTCATCTCCGGGTAGCCAAAGCTTGCCTAAAAGAACTTTAATCCTCCTAATACGCTTGTGAGAAATTTGAAATTTGAGATGAGCGACTATGGACCACTAAGAGGTACCACGGCCATGCCTACCCAGGGCTGAGGCCGCTCCCCACTGGGGATCTAAAGAGACAATCCACCGTATCCCCAGAGAGACCGACTCACGGTCACTATTCTCACAGTTCATTCATAGTATCTCTTTTCGTGTGTGGTGATCAGATGACTTGTGGCCACAGTTTCCTTTCTCGAAAGAAGGTGAACTCAGCGTCGGATACCGTCCATGTCAAAGCACAGAGCCGATGTTCCACTATCAAGCATAGCAGGGGGTTGTGGCTAGCTAGGCACTGTCATTTCTGTGCCAAACAGAGAGTTCTGGGCCGTTTTCGCCCCCTTGGTAGGTTTCGGGGTGAGTGGGGACACAAAGGAGATGAATGTTTACACAAGAACCGGTTTCTTGGGAGCAGCCACAGCAGGTTGAGCTCACTCTTCTCTCTCTCTCCAGTGGTTTGACAAGTCTCCCCATCGGGCCACGTCTCGTGGCCAAAACATTCCTCTTCAGGCAGCCCCAGCCTAGCCCACGTTGCTCAACGACGCCTCACCACCCCAATCTGGTGTATTGTCTAACATGACTTGCCGAATTTGATCGCTAATTTCTCCCTTCACGTTGAGAAACCTAGCGCCGCATTTCTTGCTCGAACACCTGTCACAAGTCACAAGCCGCAAGCAAGCTTCTGGACACAGACGGGCCTCCCGCCTGACGAAAGCGGTCCACAGCGATGTTTCGTCTTGTGTGTGTCACATATGGGGCGATCTCCCTTCGTTGGGTCGTACGTCTACTTTTGCGCGAGACGGAGACAGGAATGGAATCCCAACGAACGCGTCGTCTAGTCGCCTACGGACGCTGTGGACTTGAACCCCCCACGCGGCCAATTATCAAACTGGTTACATATGCGTAGTAGCGTGGGCTCGGAGGAATGGGCACATTAAACAGGTTTGCGTGGTAGGTATCATGGGAGACGGAGATATCGGCGCTGGCCCGCTACAGAAACGTTTTGAACGTGCATATTGTGTCCTACAGTGGCACATACGAGGACGGCGTTCTCTCGGCCAAAAGCCTAGACAAGGCATCTACAAGGCGGCGGATCTAGCTCCCTTTTCCAAGGATCACGCCACCTCGAACTCCCGTATGCTTCTTTTCCAGGGCTTTCGGGGCAAGGGGATGTCAATTCGGCATTCAAGGGCTGGTCAGATTGAGCCTAAGAGGGACACAAGCAGGAAGCCCTCCCAAAAACACCGCGATAACGTTAGTATCAACAATAACATCAACAACGGTGAAGCAACCAGTTGGGTGTACTACCATACGACCAAATGTCAAACGTCGGTAGTTTGAGAGTTGTGCCGTCACAATGTCAACGCCACCTTCCCCATCGCGTGGCCCCTGTCGGACAAGATGCAGCAGACAGTTATGCCTCATTCAGACCGACGTTGCACGCGGTTGTCTCTAGCCAAAGGGGGGTTCGTAGAGCAAAGGTTTCACGGACAAGAAAACAGAAACTGCACAAGGCCGATGGAATAGAACCTCCAATGCTTCGACCGGAAACTTCCCTACTAAGCCCCAAAAACACAGGAGAAGGATCCAGACACTCTTAGCAGCAGGCCGCAGTGCCGACCATGTGATAGGCACAAGAAGGCTCGGCACCGAGCTGGAAAACGGAACAGGACGTGAGGTTGAGGATGGCATCCGATTCACAAGCAACCAATCACATCCAAAACACAGACAGACATCGGAGGAAGAACTTAGATGGCAGAGCATGGTGTGGGAACAAATTAGGAAGGACATCGGATGCTCCCGCCACTCAGGTATCATAACATACTTGCGCAGCGTTCGGTTTAGTCGGCCCTTGGCCGTTGACTGGGTAACTAGGTAATGTGTGACTCCTCTCAAGGATCGCCACCTTTCCAGAATCCGGATGGCCGCAGCTTCTGGCGCACAGAAGAAAACAGACAGCCACTGATCAAGCACCAGCACAGGAGGCTAAGTCCCATGAACCCAGCCTTGAGATCCGGATGTTGATACCGCCGCCGAGCTGCATTGGCTCGGTCAGCTTTTGTCTCTATCCGACGCACGCCAGGCCGAAGTCCGAACAAGCATCTGATCCATCTGTGAGTCTTGGGGTGAGACAGGATAACCCCCCTGATATTTTGTTTGGGGGGAAGGGGGGTTGAGGAAACACATGACAAGAAGATCCAGGATGCCATCGATGGGGTCGATCCTGGGAGACATTCCTTTCTACACACCCCAGGCCATGTAAAAAATGTACCAAATATTACCCAGCGTCTAATTTTCCAGAGGTATCTCAATGCTAGCGAGATCTGGCTCGTCAAGAGGGCAAGAACAATGGGGATTGAGGTTGAGGCAAGAGTGGAGACTCATCAAACGCACTGACCACTCAGTTGTTGCCTGCTGTGGCTCACCCTCACCCGCTGTAAAAGGCCCACTCGTCAGATTGCCAGGACTGAGTCAAGCAGTAGCAGTGACATCCATTCATCCTAAGCCTCACACCTGGGATTTGTCCCCAGTGACGGAACTTCAAGGCTCCCCTCAGAACTCAAACGCGGAGCGTAAAGGCCAACTCGCCCCCGTTGCCCTTGGGCTGCGAGTTTCCGGGAAAACAACTATCAACCCAACAAAATAGCAACAGCGCTTTAGGGTAATGCCTAAGAAGAGACACCAAAATAGGTACTCTAAGCCTCAATCTACCGCGCCGTCGTTGCTCAGCAGCTCGGCTGCCCGCAGAGACGATGGTCAAGGTGCGTCACCCGGTCCCCCGCAGCACTCACCCGTTACGCTTCGTACGCCTAGCCACCGTCGAGAGGTCCGAGTGGGAGACGCCAGATCCCAGGCCCTTCTCCGCCCTGCTTTTTGCCCACCCGGGCCCCTGGCCGTCTTTCAATTTCATCCGTGAACTGACATCCGACAGGTGATGCCGCCCAAAACCGTGGAGTCAATGAGCTGCTCGCCGGCCTTCGCCGCACCGGTCTGAGCGGAAGCAATGGTGGGCAACAGGCTCTGAATACGATCCAGCCGAGCGTTCCGCCTGCCATCCGCCAAATCCTCCAGATCCCCGAGACACCCCCCCCTCCGCCAAGGCGGCCGGTACGGGTTGGGCGAGGGGGGGCGAGACTTCCCGCAGGACCGGCGCCCCCGCGCAGTTGGCTGTCAGGACCGGAACGGGCAGGGCACGCTCTTCGGCAATCGGCCACAAAGTATGGTGCCGCGAAGGGCCACGGGCACCGATCGCTCCCGGGGGTGAGTCTCCCAGGACGCGGAAGCCTGATTGATATGGTGCTTCGCCGGTTTGTCCTCGACTGGGAGTGGCAAAGGACATATTGCCAGTATCATCTTTACGAACTGCCAACTCATCTTAGGGTGTCTTTACTTATCTACCTTGCTATGTACACGAGCGAAGGCGTGTCTCTGCGGGATCTCCAGGCCGTTCTGCTACCCCCGCCAGACATGCCCGACTACTGGGAAGACCCAGACCTGGTTCCCAGCGCCATCAACGACGATTTCCACTGTCTCGATCTCACAGGTTGGATCGGGCGGTCCATCAAGCTCCGTGAGCTGTCAAACCTCCTCTTCCCGCCAAACCTTGAGCCCATCGACCCACAAGACTCTTGGGACACCCCTGATCAGCTCTCCAGAGACATCCCACGTTCGATAGTCCCCAATCTAACCCACCTTTCCCTTGCGCTCGATCCCACCTCGTCGCCTGCTATATCCTGGCGACAGCTCCTTTCCTTCGCAACGCACCTACCCGGGCTGACGCACCTCAGCTTAGCATTCTGGCCGGAACCAAGTCTCACCCCTAACGCGAAGCTCGCAACGGTCGTGTCGCCCCACACCGGCGGCACTCTACAATACGGGGGCACGGGGCCCTACAGTCATTCTCTTGACGGCAACTGGGAGGAACAAGTGCTTGTACTTCGGCGACTTAGTAAGAGTCTGTACGGGCTTGAATACCTCGATCTCACCGGGTGTGGCGAATGGTACCCTGCCCTGTGGTCTAGTGCCGGGGAGGGCGATACCGTAGATTGGACCGGAGCGTGGGGGAAGATTAATACGTTGGAGATGTACCCTGGCTATACGCTGAAAGATGACGCAGAAGCCGCAGAGAGGGCGCGGTACTGGGAAATGGTGGACTGCACACAGCAATTAGAAAGACACATACGGGCGAGTAGGGCGGGGAAGGGCAGGTTTATCACGATCGAGACCGTCAAACGCTCGGGACTGGGAGGAACGAGTCCAAGTTAAGCGTACTTCAACATTGGCGTTACCATATTTGGGCTCTGGGTCGGTCCAACACTGTTTTATATTCCCACTCGTGGAACAGAAGAATCACGAACGCTGTCACGCCGTTCTATGCTGTTGAACCCCTCGCATTTTCTAGCGATTGCTCGTCTTCGGTGGTTCAGTATCTCCAAATAGCATCCGCCATAGCAACAACCTGCGCCATCTCTCGCACATCATGCACCCTCACCACATCCGCCCCACCCTGTACAGCCGCCGCTACCGTAGCAGCCGTCCCCCAGATCCTCTCCCGGGGCGTCGGCACCCCCGTAACGCGCCCGATAAAGCTCTTCCGGCTCGACCCCACCAACCACGGTAGGCCCTGCAAGCCCGGCCAGTTCCGCAGCTCCTCCAAATGCCGCAGGACATCCACATTCTGCGGACCAACCTTCGCAAACCCCAGCCCAGGATCCAACACAATACGCCAGCGACGCACACCAGCGTCCTCCGCCGCGCGCACACGCGCCACCAACTCCCGTGCGATCCCCCCGATCAACCCCCCCTCGGCGTCCGGGTAGGTCGCCAGGTTGTTCATGGTCGCCGGCGTGCCACGCATGTGCATCAGGCAGATGGTCGCGCCGAGCCGGGCGACGGTCGGTAGCATGGCCGGGTCCATCGAGCCGCCGGAGACGTCGTTGACGATGTCGGCTCCCGCGGCGACGGCGGCTTCGGCTACGGAGGCGCGGTAGGTGTCGACGGAGACGAGTGCGGGCCGGGAGGGGAAGCGTTCGCGGATGAGGGTGATGGCGGGGATGACGCGGGAGAGTTCCTCGTCGAGGGAGACTTCGGGGGTCCCCGGGGCCGTGGATTGGCCGCCGATGTCGATCATGGTGGCGCCGGCGTCGAGGAGGGCGGTGATGGTTTGGTGGAGGGTGGGTTGGTCGTTGGGGGCGTGCTGGCCGCCGTCGGAGAAGGAGTCGGGGGTCATGTTGAGGATGGCCATGACGTGGGTTTTGCGGGAGGAGTTGAGGGCTTGGATGGGCGGGTGGTGGGAGGAGAGAGGGGTCATGGTGGTCAGGGGGGTGGTGGAGCGCGGGAGGGCGTCGAGGTAGTCGGCTGTGAGGCGCCATGGGCGGGCTGGGTCGATGGGTTTGTCTGGGATGAGCCTGGGGGGATAAGTTAGTTAGTCAGTTTGTGTTGGGCTTGTTGGTTGGTTTGGGCTCATCATGACGAGGTAGAACGGGTGCTGTCTCACTCAGCTAAGGGCCGAAGAACAAATTCACGCTCGGGTATGCCAATGTGGGGGATCTTGAGGCGTTCATGGTCAAACACGATGTTGTCGTAGAGCAGGATGTCGAGATCGATATTGCGGGGTCCCTTGTCTATGACCTTCTTTCGGCCCAAGGCCTTTTCGATATCCTGGAGGCTATCTAAGAGCTCGAGGGGCTCTAGGGTCGTCTCAACCTGGTGCACAATTTCAGTCACAGTGATCATCAGGAGCAAGAATAGATAGAAATCAAAACATCGGGAAGCAATCGAAGCCAGACATGGACGCCAAATGGTTACGAACCTCGCAGGCGCCATTGACAAATCTATCCTGGTCTAACACATACATGGGCTCCGTCTCCCAGAGGCTGCTCGTCCGCTTCACCTTGATGCCCCGCGCGTCCATCTCGTTGCAAGCCTTCTCAATCCACCCGATGCGATCGCCCATGTTGCTCCCGAGAGCGATGTACGCCGTCCGCTTGCGCGCGGGATCTTGAGCAGCGCTCATTTTGGCGGGGAGGTCAAGGCTGCCCGACCGGAATTTTGAAGTGGGAGGGAGTGTGTATTTTTGGAAGGCGATTCGAGACCGTGATGACCCTGAAAACTGCCTAGTATTCGTCCTCGTAATGTGTTTTATGGGTTGAGCTTGATGGTAATGGCGGCACGCATAACGGACAGGGAACGGCAGTATTTGTGGCGGTCGCAACGGCGCCGATGCGAGGTGAATGGCGCGCTTCATCTTTTTTGGCGCATCCTGAGATCATTCACGCATTGGACTACTTCGCTTGAGCACCCTCCGAGATTCCCGCTGCAGCAAAGCCTGAGAGGGCCCACTGAGCCAGTGCCTGAAATTCCTCAAATTCAGGGTCTCGAACCCAGGGTTAGGGTCTGTTATTCTATCAGCACAGGCCGTCGCATCAGGCTCGACAATCCGGAGTTCAAACTTGCGAAACGTTGTTCTTTTTTCAACTTGCCGGCTCGACGGCCTATGTAAGTGTAGGGGCATCCCATCCCCTGCAAGTTGGCCGCCACTACATGTGGGATAGTAATCATGTGTCTCGAGCCGGGCAAGCCGGGGCAGCCGGATCCTCGAGGGCGCAGCTGCTGGCTATTATAACCGCAAGAAGCAGATAGTCCGAGATTCGGGAGGATCTGTCGTCGTTCACGCGACCTGTGGGTCTCTTTCCCCAGCCTCGAGTCAACTTCCCCATTGCTAAACGTTATCCCCAGGCCGGCTCCCTGCGTCCGGCTTCACCCCGGCGCGGGGAGTTTTCCGATCAAACGCCGTTCCGTCGGTCATGGCCACGACTGCCCGACCAGTGCCTCGGCACCGTTACCCTTCAAAGCTTGGCCCGTGTTCCGCCCGCACTTGCCGGTTGGCGCAAAGCGACGCTCGCAAACGGTTCCGGAACCGGCTTAGCGCACCCCGGCGGGCAACCTCGGCACAAACTTCAATGCGGGCTTGGCGGATTGCAGCGTTCCCCAGACCGAGGGTCCAAGATGCCCTTCTCTTTCCCCAGATGTCCCTGTGATAAAACAGCTTCCTCTCCCACAACCAACCTTTTTCTCCTCCGCCCAACGTACCTGTTGGATTTTTGTTTTTTGACTTCATTTTGATACCACTTTCTTTTCTTCGCTTCTAGACAAGAAAAAACAACCAGACAAACACAATGGCGTCTCCTCGTAAGCGCAACCCGCAGACCCTTCACTCTTCCCGCCTTTCCCGCTCGCGCTTCTGCGACGTCATCCCGCGCAACTTCACCTGCGTCGCGGCAAGTTGCGCGCACGGAATCACATGCATGCATTACAACTGCGCGTTTACTTCGTTTATTTCTTGGGAGACTTGTACTGATATGACGGCCTCTTTCAGAGCAAATCCGCACCGACATCACCGATCTTTTCAAGATCAACCACCCCATCCTGCTTGCCGGCATGAACGTGGCGGCCGGGCCCAAGCTGGCCGCGGCTGTCACCAACGCCGGCGGTATGGGTGTGCTGGGTGGCATCAACTACACGCCCGAGATGCTCAAGGACCAGATCGACGAGCTCAAGGCGCATCTGACGGACAAGAAGGCTCCATTTGGTGTCGACCTTCTGCTTCCCCAGATTGGCGGCAACGCCCGGAAGACCAAGTAAGCCGACACCAACCTTGATACCCTAGGAAGCCACAGCAATACCAATACACCCTAGCCAGTTTCTCGCATACCCCGCTAACCAATTATCTTTTATTTCCATAGCTACGACTACACCAAGGGCAAGCTTGACGAGTTGGTCGACATCATCATCGAGTCCGGTGCCAAGCTCTTTGTCTCGGCCGTCGGTGTGCCGCCGAAGCACGTCGTTGAGAAGCTGCACAAGCACGGCATCCTCTACATGAACATGATCGGCCACCCCAAGCACGTTAAGAAGTGCCTCGAATTGGGCGTCGACATCATCTGCGCTCAGGGCGGTGAAGGCGGTGGCCACACTGGTGACATTGCCACCACCATCCTTATCCCCGCCGTCGTCGAGGCCGTCAAGGGCCACAAGTCTCCCCTCACCGGCAAGCCGGTGCAGGTCCTCGCCGCGGGCGGTATTCACAACGGTCAGCTGCTGGCGGCTGCGCTGATGATGGGCGCGAGCGGCGTCTGGGTCGGCACCCGGTTCGTCCTGTCCGAGGAGGCCGGCGCCCCCGAGTCGCACAAGGAAGCTGTCCGCACCGCCAGCTACGACGACACCATCCGCACACTCATCTTCACCGGCCGCCCTCTGCGTGTGCGCAAGAACCCCTACATTATGAACTGGGAGGAGGAGCGCTCCGAGGAGATCAAGAAGCTTACTTCCGAGGGCAAGCTGCCCTACGAGGCCGACCTGGACAAGGTCATGTCGGGTGAGGCAAGCGAGGACCCGGCCATGAAGAACTCGGGCCTCCTTCCCTCCGGTGACGACAGCGAAGAGACCGACCTTGACGACCTCATGGACCAGTTCCGGCCGTTCCTCATGGGCCAATGCGCCTCCGTATGCAACGAGAAGAAGTCCGCCAAGGCGATTGTCGACGAGTTCATCCGGGATGCGGTCGCCTGGATGAAGAAGGGCAACTCGTACCTGTCGGCGAAACTCTAAATTTGTTCATCGGTTGGGAGCGGGAGCGGGACTGTTGTAATATTTGTAGCGCATAAGGTTTTCTAGAGTCCAATACCATCAATAAATTCTTATATCACTCTTAATCGTCGGTTTCCCCACTCAGACTTGTGACGAAGACAGGTTCCGGCGAAATCGGAGACTTGGAAATGCATGCAGCAAAGGAAGAAGCCGACGAGTCACGCAAGGGCAGATCCCGGTCTCGAGCACTCCTTTCTATGAGAATTAACACCTTTTCGAGATCGGCTCGCCGATCTGCTGCCGCATCGTCCCAAACATGGGCCAATTCGTTGATGTGGCACAGTTTTGCGTGGGGTTCAGGGATAAGAAGGCTTGAAAGACAGACACAAGACGGAACACCCGGTGCTCTGAACCCGGTCTGTGGAACCCCCGATTCGGGAAAAGTGGGGCTAGCCCCGGGCCGCGGCCGGGTCGATGACCGGATTGCAAACTCGACAAACCGTGCGGCGGGTTTGGGATCGAGGCGGCCGGAAACGGGCCGCCAGATTTTAGGGCCGGGGTTGGAATGTTTTTCTGGGGGTTGGAATTGATTGGGCTTGCCATTTGGTGGTGCATTGTGGGATGCTGCTATTTTGTCGGATGTGGAGGTTCAGTGAAGCGGTGGACGGGTCGGGGTAACCAAGGCCAAAACACATTGTTGTTTCTTTATTCCTAAGACGGGATGAAAATGCTTCGATGACACGGGGCTCGCTCTCCCTTTGTGGGCTAGTTCTTCATCTCGAGACACCAAGAGCCAACTAACCAGTTCGAATAAATCGCATTACACCGTCCACCTAACGGACGGCACTAACTAGCGAGTCAACAAAGAACATTGTCCCCATGCCGATTTAGCCTTTTGGGGTTTATCGTCTATCATTATTCTGCAACTTTCAGGCCTCCCTTTACCTCAATTGTTTCCAGCATAGTCGCATCCCCAGGAGACCGACGCGGCCCGGTCGGCTCGTCCAAAGAAAGTTGCAAGCCACCCGGGCCTGAGACACGGTCCTCCCATCACGGCCCCTTACGTCGGCCATTGTCTCCTTTGCGCCGACTACTGACCCCATGGCCGTTTCTTGCCGAGCAGACAAAGCTGCCGCAGCCCTTTCAAAATATATAGGGCCAGGCCAAGTCGAAACTTGGGATCGTCTTCTTGGTCTCTCACCACCATCCTTTCAACGGTCCTCTCGTCTTCATTCCTTTACGACGATACGGCCGTGCCAATCGTGGCTGCCTTTCCTTTTTTGACGATCCCTACGTTACATTCCTTCTTCGTTGCCTTTGTTTTTCTCCTTCAAGGATCATATTCTTGTTCAGTCTCTCCTTAGCTTCAAAACTCAGGGGCTGGACCCTTTTGATTTGAGATTTTAGTCCCTCCTTTTTTTTCCCAAGTTTTTAACGACCCTTCTATTCAAGATGAGGGGTATGAGCAGGCCTGGTGGTGGGAGCAGCGGAGCTATGGCGGATAACATCCTCAAGTTTGCTCCCATCCTTTTTTCGTTCGTTGCGTTTCTATTCATGGCCATTGCCCTGTCGTCGGGCATGAAGCCCAACTACATCGAGGGTCTCAGCATTGTCAACGTGAGTACCCCCATCGCTTTCACCTTATTAACACCAACAATTTGATCTACACTTTTGGAACCAGCAGATGGTTGCTAACATCAGGGATACATCACAGTTCAACATGTCAACACTCGGCAAGAACCTTGTCAAAGCCCCCACCATCAACGCGGACGATGCATGCAACAAGGCAGGCGACGCAGTCGACGGCGCCGTGGATCAAGTCGGCGACACGGCGAACGACATCGGTAACACCATCGGCGGCATCTTCAGCCGCAAACCCTCCGTCGGCGACGCCATCGGGGACGCATGCAAGACGGGTGCCGACGCAGCCAACCAGGCCGTCCAGATCTCGACGGACGCCATCAACAAGGCGCTCGGCAGCATCGCCAAGGCCATCGGCATCCAGGAGTATTACTCGGTGCACATTGGCGCGCTGTGCGAGGGCAACTACAAGCCCAGCTTTGACGACAAGGACGCGAAGCCCGACGTGTCCAAGTGCACGCCCAAGTTCAAGACGGAGCAGACGGATCTGAGCAAGAAGCTCGATGACGAGCTGCAGGTCGGGCCGTTCAAGTTCAAGCTTAGCGACCTCGACCTCGTCGACGATATCAAGGACGGCTTCGCCAAGATTCCCGGCGCCCTGGCCGCCATGGCCTTCTTCTTCCTCTTCGCCACGATCGCGCTGGTGTTGGGTTTCCTGTTTTCCCTCGCCGTTGCGGGGCTGGATTACGCTGGCAAGGACACTTTGAAAAAGTTTGCGCTGTTCGGCGCGATCGGCTGCCTGGGGGTCGGCTGGTTCACTACGCTCATCGGCGCGGCGGTCACCACTGGCATCGCGGAGACCATCAAGAAGGCTGTCAACAAGTTTGGAGATAAGTTCGGCATGTCGGCGCATACCAGCCCAGGCCTGTACTTCCTCCTCTGGAGCGCTATGGTGTGCTCGTTCCTCGCGCTGGCTATGCTGGCGTTCTTGTGGTTCAAGACCCGCGGCGGGAGGGGCATGGGACATGGTCCGAGTGCGGGTGCTGGTCAGCAGCAGGCCCAGTACAACACCAACAAGAACATGTCGGAGAGCTCCATGGAGGACTCGCATGGGTTTGCGCAGATGCAGACCAGCGGGGGCCGAGGTCGGTTCACGGAAGAGCCGTTGTAAGGGGGGAGCGTGTGCCTTCCGTTCGGTCTTTTTCTCGGGGTTGATTGACACTCATTTTTGATACTCTCCTGGGCACTCTCCGTCTCTCGCTTTTTTTTCTCTTTTTCGAGCCTCCGACAAACTTTCGATTTTTTGCCGGCTCAGCCCGCCACGAAAGGAGTGAGTGGCGCCACTCTCACTCTTTTCGAGAACTCTCACTCTTTCCAAGACTGGCTTTTTCGCTCATTTAATCTCACAAAATCCCGCTCCTTTTCTCGACCGTCACTCATTCATCAAGAGCGGACGCTTTCACTCCTTATCGTCCGTTTCTTTCGCTCACTTAATTTCGAAATTCCGCTCATTTTCTCAACTCAGTCACTCATATATTTCCAAGGACAAACTCTTTCGCTCCTTATCGTTTGTCTCTTACATTCGCTCCTTCGATACTCACACTTTCGTTTCCTCTATTCACTCAACGCTCATACTGAAATCGTCATTCATTACCTCTTGTCAACCAGCCAACCAACCAACCAACCAACTCATATGGAGAGTGCTACAGAACCTGAGCCAAAACCAGTCTGTCGTTATCAGCCACATCAGAATTGCATAGCTCGGGGTGTTGGGCGTTCCGGCGCCTCCTGATTTTGTTTTTTTCTTTGTCTTGTTGTCTCATGATCAGTTTGTTTATTCGCTTGTACGATGCAGAGTCTCACTCGTTCTGAAGAGAAAGAAGGGGAATAGATTAGAATGTTTATCGATTTCCGACCGTTTGTTTGGTTCATCATCCTTGATACCGTTGTGTGTCGTCGTGATCGTCAATCTTGGCATGGCTGGTGTTGGCAATGCGGGGAGTTCGTTTTGCCAATCATCCCCCCGCGTTGTCCACCTGTGACGTCGTGGGCCTCTCGCATCGTCCTTTTTGGGGGTCACCGTGCCGCAGTTGTCTCTCCATCCCAAACCACAGCAGGTTAGCCAGACCAGGCCAACAGCACCGATATAATATCCTCACTTTCCACCAAGCGTCCCCTCTTTTTCTTTTTTTTTTCTCATCTTCCAATTCTCGTCCCTCGCCACAACACTCCCCCATTGTCCCCCCATCTCAACAACGACAACAACCACTCCCATCCAATATGCCCCGCCTCCCCACGGACTCCGACGATGAGCACGACGACTTCCTAGACCAAGGCCGTCGACGCGCCCGCCGCATCCTGCATGGCTTCATCGACTTTGCGTTCCAGGGCAACGTGCTCGAGATCGCGTTCGGTTTGATCCTGGCCTCCATGTTCACCGCCCTCATCACAAGCCTGGTCAGCGACATTTTGCTCCCGCCGTTGTCGGTGCTGCTGCCGCTTAATAAGAACTTGGAGGAGAAGTTTGCGGTGCTGCAGGCGGGGCCGAATCGGCCGGCGGGTGGGGGGTATAATACGCTGAAGCAGGCGCAGGATGATGGGGCTGTTGTTATGGCGTATGGGTACGCTCACTGACTTTTCCTTTCTTTTCAGCTTCCTTGTTGGCGTGTTTTGCACACAAATTGGTCTGGCCAAGAGGTGTGATTGTTTCTCACAGTAATTGCAGGTTCTTCCTCAATCGACTGCTAAACTTCATGGGTGTGGGTTGCTCTCTCTACGGGCTTGCGGCGATATACCAGTACTTTTCCAAAGACCCCATCATCAAGCACACGGTCAAGTGCAGGTATTGCCGGAAGAGGATTAACGAAAAGGTGGGTTCTACCCCTACACTACAATTGTCAACTAGGTGAAACCGCTAACACGCCAAAGGCTGCCCGCTGCGTCAATTGCTCGAGTTGGCAAGACGGTAGGGAGGATCTGGTTCGTGAACCGGGTCCGTCCACTTAAAGAGCATGTTTCCTTAGGTCTGGTGTCCGGCGCTTCTCTAAGTCCATTTCGCAACGTATCTCGCAATTGGATGAATAATAATTTTGCTATTACAATCACTGCTTCATGTATAATTACTCCCATAACCCGGCGTCATAACCTTCGGGTACCATTCAACCCTCCATAGTCATATCCACTCCGTACCCTTCGGACCTCCTCCCTTCAACAGCTCCCCCCTCTAGATGAGCATAGCACCACCAACCAGCGCAGCAGCACCCATGATAACCGCGTTCTGAGTAACCCGCGGCATACCGCCGGTGCTGGAGCTGGTGCTCGAAGCACCATCCGAAGCGCCGCCTCCACCCTGCGAGTTCGTCGCCCCAGTCGGCCGCGTAGTAGGCGCCGAAGCTGTGGTCGAGGCGGGCGTGTTAGTTGGCGCTGCACCAGCACCAGCCGAGAGCTTGTCGAAGCCGGCCGTAATCGTGATGGGAAAGATGTACTCGGTATAGCCGGTCAATGGCTCGAGCTGGGTCGCCGTCGTTTTGCCGGAAATTATGAGGGCGTTGCACGACGCCTGGTTCACGGACCGGGTGAGCTTGCATTCGGCAATGTTGGTGCTAATAGAGATGAGAGTCAGTCCTGAGATACATTTTTTTTGTCTCCCCCTTTTTCTTCTCGAGAGGGAATTATGGGGTAAAACTGACAATTTCCCAGTATCCGAGAGTGTGTAGCCAAAGGTGGACGGGCCATAGAAGATTTCTACGCCTTCCGATGGGACCCCGCAGTCGTTGCTGTCGGCGCCTGATGGGCAGGCAAGCAAATACGTGGTGGCAGTGGGGGCGGCCGAGATGACGGAGGCAAGCAGGGTCTGCTCGCCAAAAGGGAGAAGAATATCCACGACGCTGGTGGACTGAGCCGCCGCCAGGCCCGAAGCCAAAAGAAAAGATGCCAAGTACTTCATGATGCCGATAAACTGGAAAAATATTACGAATTATTCGGATAATAGACGGATTTTGTTCCAGTTCAATGTGATAAATGAGCGTAGGGTAAAAATGCGATGCCAAAAGGAACGTCTCGGTTGATAAATAAGGGAGCGAACGACAACACAGTACTGCAGCTGACGAGGGAAGAGAATCCTCCAGGCTGTGTCGTTATTTTAGGACGGCCAAACATATCTTATATGTACCCAGGGTTGTATTCGCTCGGATGTGTCTGGGGCCGGAACCTGCGGGTGAGCCCGAGTGCGAGCAGGATCCACACCTATACGCTCTCGAGATGTCTTCATCTTGTTCAGGGGTTTGCCGGGCTACCAAGCGCGTTTGTGAGACCTAACATTAAGCGAGATCGGGCTTCAGCCCGTTCTTTCCCTCTCAAGCCGTGCTTGTTCCTGCGAGCGTGTTTGAGAGTGACCTTCATCAATGACTATTTCGACGTTTCATAACAAGTATACAAAACGCAAAATTCTTCGAAGAAAGAGGCAGTGAAATGGATGAATCTCGCATTTCCATAACAGGAGTTTGCCTCACTCGAGTGCGACGACGAGTCTAGGCCGGGCATTTGCAGGGTTCCCCAAGTTCGTGACAGGGAACTTCATCCGCAGAAGGACGGGCTTGGTGCTTTTACACAGGATTAGTGTGAACGTGGACGGGACCGATGGGGGCTTGGTCTTTTCTTGGCGCTGGCTCGGGCTCATCTTCCGAGACTGGCAAGACCGGTAACTCCGCCCACGGAAAAGTATCTTCATCCTCGTCGTCGTCCCCGGGCCGCTGTGCTTACCGGCTAAGATGTCACGGACTGTCTCCACGGATTGGCGCGCCTCAACTTGCTGAGATGCAAGCAATTGATCATCCGGTCCCCGCCGCGTCGCAGACACGGCAACCATGCCTCTTGGCAACCTCGAAAAATCTATCGGAATTCGGCCACGGCACAGCGCCGAGCCAGGTGCCAAGCACCGCCAAGAGATGATTTGCAGCCTCGACCACATGGCCGGCAACCCGTTGACTTTTCCCTCTCGTTCTCCTCTCTCTTCCGCTTCTTCTTCTTTTCGCTCCCTCTGTCGGCCATGGCTGCGTCTCGGGAAAACTGCGAAGCGGTTGAGAGGACACCATGAGACCGAACCTTTCGGTGACCCTTCTCGGCTGGCTCTGTGCGGCCGCGGACAGTGTCCGGGGGCATTCAACCGTGTCCGTTTTTTTGCCTGAATATGAGGAGTCAGACTGGGCAGCGCTACGCGGAAGTGTCATTAGCAGTGTGAGTGTTCGTTCGGGCGACGTTTTGCTGCGGCTCGTCCTCCTTTTAGCTCAGGAATAACATGCTCATACAATTCTCAGGACAAATCCGTCACAACCTATACCGTGTTCTGCGCGGAGCAGGCTCCGAGCTGCCGGATTGCGGGGGACATCCCGTTTATTTTCACAGAAGGGGCTCATACGCTAGTATATCGGGGCACTGACCCGGGGGTGTTGTATGTGCTCCCGCGACCCCATGAACATAGGAAGGACAAGGCTGAAGAAAACAGTCTGCTAACGGTGTTAAACAGAACTGCCGAATTTGACTGCCAACTGAAAGAAAAGACGGCGGCAACCTGCACCGGCTCATCTTCTATCGGGGTGAGCCACCGCGACGGCCCCCTGACCGGGCCGACTGAGACCGTTTGGACGAAGACATTGACCGCAGATGATGTGACCTGGGGTATCTTAACCCTGTCAACGCCTGGTCCGGGGTCGGGATCTGGGCCGGCAGCGACAACTCCCAGCGGCGGAAATTCACTACTCGCGCCTGCGACAGAAACCTCAACAGCAACGTCAGGAAGTGGACGGATTTTGGGCGAAGGGGAGAGAAGTTTACTGGCTGCATCGCTTGGGGCTCTGTCGGTTATCTTGTGGTTGGCTTGAAGACAGAGCGGCGTGGTTCCAAATCGAAGGAACTAGGTTGGGAGTGAGCGACGGTTCTTTCCATGTTTATTGAAAAATACCCCTTTTTTCTAGTTTCGGTTGGTGGGGGAATCTTGGGTGGCAGTCAACAGATGGCTCAACTGCTACGTTGCAGGAGAAATACTTGTATTTAAAGGGTTTGTCAAGAGGCACATGCAAAGACACATGCACAAATTGGGCAGGTGCAATAGAAGGAGCGAACGAAGGATAGAAGACAATGCCAAACATCCATGCTCGACGTGTGTACCGTACCTGGGGTTACATACAGAGCACAAATGTGTACTCGGGTACTGGACGGTGTACATACCTTGTTGCTCAAAAGCACAGACATGGTTTGTCTTCCTAATCCAGAATCGCAGTCCCCGATTCCAAGCGCTCAGCGTGAGACCCATCTCTCCTCGAAGCGCTTGCACAGTCGAAATCGTCCAACCTTGAAGTCTCGTGTTGTCGGTTGGCTTTGTGCAGTCGCGCGGCTGTTGTTGCCCATTCCCAGCAGGCGCTGTCCAGTTGGCTGGACTGAAGCCCCCGTTTCAGGTTTCGGAACCAGGACCGCCAAGACGGCGAAGTTTTGTTCCCCACCAATCGCCAGCTGCAAGCCCCTGACGACTGCTTCTTCAGGCTCCAGCAAACCCGCCGCCACGGTCAACGGCGCATAGGCAGATCGCCAGAGATCGAAGAAGTGCCGTTGAGAGTTCCTGGAGTTCCTGGCTGCAAAACCTGGTTCCTGCATTGGTTCTCGACCGCCCGCGCGCCGTTTGGGAGTGAACCCCTCACTGATCAGCGCGACCAGCTCCACGTTGGCCACGATGCCACGCCACCACATCGCTCACTGCTCCCACTCGAGACATTTGTCCCCGATTTTCTCTCCGAGTCGGCGCCGGGGCGGGGGTTGAAAGTCCAAAATGCAACCCCTCGTTCGTCCAACATGCGGGAGGCGCACCGCTAACCTGGGAGCCTGGAAAGAAAGAAACGAAACAAAACAAGGGTACCAAACGACCGAGGTCCTCCTGCCAGGATGCGAGCGAGCCAGACGTGCCAGACTCCCTCCCATGAGCGCTCCGGAAAGGGAAAGACAGTACATGTGCGCCGTCGCCAAACTTCGGATTGGCTCTTCCTTGCGCTTGCTGGGATCGGTGAGACCTTGCTAAGCATTTTGGGCCAACTTCGCGCACACCTCTTACTTGTTGCGGACTCTGTGGACCGAAAGACGGGCGCGGGATCCGTTGGTTGCCGTTCGACGGCCGCTTGACGACCGGCCGGCTCCTCCACTCCTCCACTCTTCCTTTTAAAGGATGTAAAAGCCCGCGGCCCTCCTTGACCACCATTTTTGAACCGACTTGAGTCCGTCATTGGCAGGCCTTTGCTTCCTTCTTTCTTCACCCTCTTCTTGTCTGCCACTATTCCCTCGTTCAGCGTGTTGACCACCAACGATCGTTTCCTTTCCAAGCATATTCTGCCGCTCTGTTTGTCGTTCCAAACTGTGTCAACCCTTTTGTTGGACTCAGTAGTCGTCAACAATTCTTGATCCAGGCCACTTCCGGAGACTTTGGATCTTGCACAACACCAAGTACTCCAACTAACACACGGCATCTATCGGCATTATCTTCGTTTCTTGCTCGCGGGCGGCAAGTGGATCGTTTTTTATTCCATCTTCACTACTTGAACTGCCTCGGAACACATCCCAGCATGTATTTCAGGTCCCTCAAACCCGCGGCTGCAGCCGTGGCCGCCGTTGCTGCTATCGCCCCTAAAGACTTGAAAATCGATGATCCGAGTAAGCATTACTATGGCCCGCCTTGCCGGTAGATGCAGCTTCCTGACCACCCATCCACAGCTTCTATCAAAGGCGTAGCCAAGACCATTGCCGCGGGCGCCATGTCCTACTACTCCGGTACCCCTGACAAGTTTGTCGACCTCCCACAGCCCCACTACTGGTGGCAGGCCGGCGCCCTGATGGGCAGCATGCTGGACTACTCGCATTACACCGGCGACACGAGCTACGACAAGCTTATCTCGAGGGCTCTCTTGGACCAGGTTGGACCCGAGTTCAACTATATGCTGCCGTCACACTTTGGTCAGGAAGGGAACGACGACCAAGCCTTCTGGGGATTCGCCGTCATGTCAGCAGCCGAGAGGAACTTCCCGCACCCGGATGAGAATGTGCCCTCATGGTTGCAGCTGGGCGAGAACCTGTGGAACTCGCTTGCTTCGAGGTGGAACACGACGGACTGCAACGGTGGTCTCCTGTGGCAGATCTTTGCCTCCAACCCGAACGGGCTGGATTACAAGAACACGGTCAGCAACGGAGGCTTCTTCCAGATCTCGGCTCGCCTCGCTCGTGCCACTGGCAACAACACCTACCTGGAATGGGCCGAAAGGGTGTGGGACTGGACCGAAGGGGTGGCCATGATCGACAAGTACTACAACGTGCACGACGGTGCGAGCGCCAGCAACAATTGCAGCGACATCAACCCCGTTACCTTCTCCTACAGCGCCGCCATCTATCTATACGGAGCGGCCGTGCTGGCCGATCACACCGGCGACCAGAAATGGGCGAAACGCACCGAGGGCATCCTTCAGGCCGCTGGGTCCTTCTTCACCCCATTCTCCAACGCCACCAACATCATGTACGAGCATGCTTGCGAACAGGTCTACTCGTGCAACGTCGACATGCGCAGTTTTAAGGGCTACTTCTCTCGCTTCGTCTACGCCGCGAGCCTGTACGTCCCGACGATCCAGTCCACCATCGACGAGAAGTGGCACACCACAGCGCTGGCGGCCGCCAAGGCGTGCTCGGGTGGTGACCAGGGCACGACGTGCGGGCAGAAGTGGTATGTTGGCGGGTTTGACGGGCTCGCTGGGCTGGGCGAGGAGATGTGTGCTCTTGAGACCATCCAGGGGCTACTCGTGGGCGATGCTCCGGCCCCGTTGAAGGGAAAGGACATCAAAACTGTCCGCACTTTTGCGTAAGTGTTTCGGCGGTATGACTTATGATTTGAGTAGCGTTCAAGACGGTTTTGGGCGGGGGTCAGATTCTCAGCAGTCACCTCCCGCGTTTTGTACATATCACCTTTTTACATTCTACTAGTCCAGTAGGCTGGACTGGCACTTTTAGGGGTCACGATTGAGGGTCACAAAATAGACGGGCATCCATCCATATTCACTGCCATCGAATGCTGTTGTTTTGTTTCAGCGCAACACACATTTTAAATCCATTCTAACACCTTTCCTCTTACCCTACCACGGCGCTCACCTCAGCTTCCTTCACCTCTTAACCAGCAGCCGTCGGAACCCCGCGGACCTCAGCCAGCGTCTTCTTCAACGAGGACAAAAACCGCGTAACCTCCTCCTCGGTACCGACCGTGATGCGCAGACAGCCCAGACACCCGTGCTCCTTACCACGGAAGCGTACCACCACTCCCTTGGTCTCGGCCAGTCGTTCGTACACCGCCAGCGCCGTGACATTATCCGGCTTTCCATCCTTGTCCAGCATCTCGTACAACAAGAAATTACTATCCTCCCCACCACGCAACCGACCAACCCCTTCCACCGTCGCCATGCCCCGGACCAGCGCATCCCGCTGGGCAATCAGTCGCGCGCGGTTCTCCCGCATGTGCGGCAACCCACCCGTCTCCGATACGGCATACTCCGCCAACCCAGCCGTCAAACTCGAGATGTTATACGGCGCCTTCAGACTATTCAGCAACCGCGCAATCGGCGGGGACGTAAACGCCGCGCCGAGCCGGATGCCCGCCAACCCGAACGCCTTGCTCAGCGTCTGCATGACCACCAGGTTCGGCCATTCAACAACCCATTCCGCCAGGCTCGCCTCAGGAGCCGAGAAGTCCACGTACGCCTCGTCAACAATCACCACGCCGTTCCACGTCGGGTGTTCCAGCACGGCCTGGATATCTTCCTTCCTCAGCAGCGCGCCGGTTGGGTTGCCCGGAGAACAGAGATACACCAATTTGATGGTGTCCGAGTCCGGGGCGGACAGCGCGGCCGTGACGGCGGGGACATCGACGCCGAACTCGGGGGCGGGGAGTAAAGGGACCTTGACCAGGCCGACGTCGTTGACTTGGGCGGAGACGGAGTACATGCCGTAGGTGGGGGGGCAGACGAGGATGCGGTCGCGGCCGGGGGCGCAGAAGCAGCGGAGGAGGGCGTCGATGGCTTCGTCGGAGCCGACGCCGACGAAGAGGTGCGCGGGGGTTAGGGTGCGCGGGGTGTGGGCGTGGGTGGTGCGGAGTTGGCAGAGGAGCTGTTTGAGGGGTTCTTGGTGGGGGTCGGGGTAGCGGTGCAGGGTGGTGAGGTCTAGCGTGGGAAAGGGGGTGGGGGTAGGAGTCGTCGCTGTCCCTGTGGTGCTGCCATTTTGGGGGGTGGAAGATGGAGGGGGGAAGGTTTTGTTCTGGAGAGGGGGGCCGTAGGCGTTCTCGTTGGCGTCGAGGAGGATGTTGGTGCCGTCGTCTTTGTAGTCGCTGAGATGATCGGGTTCGTTAGTTGGGCCCCGTGAAAAGGATATGTAAACAAAAAGGGATGCACAATAACATGACAACATATCAAAGGAAGATGAATCCTCAAGTCACTTACTCCCGAGCACAACGATAGGGCTCAAGCGCCAGAATGTTTGGTCTGGCGCATGCCTCGAGATTAAAAGGAGACATGGTGGGCAGAATGGATCAAGTAGAAATGAGCGTCACAATTGGGTGAGTTTGAAAAGGTACTCAGGGTCCCCCTTTTGAGTTCCCTTGTCAACTTCAACTTGTTGTGAAGAGTCACAAAAAAAGAGTCATTGGGAATTTAAAGTGAGGACCCAGCGCCGAACCCGGAGCGGGTCCTCGACAGATGAGTTGGAAATGTCTCCTGTTAAGTTATCATAGAGAGTTTGAAGGTGCAAAGAACTCTCAACTAAAAATCACATTTGCTAAGGAACTCCTAAACTCTTTCACCACAATCATGCTACCGCCTGTCAGTTTTGTCATTAAAAAGGAGGAATGAGCATCGAGAACGCGGAATCTTATTCTTTCGTACCCCTCGTGATACCCTAACCCTCGGTGGGGTAGCCACCCCCACTTCCTGTTCCGACGCCAAGCCCTTCTAGAAGTCGTACCGAAGTTAACTTTTCTGTTCCCCTGGTCCGGTTCGCAAGCTTTCCCCAACTTCCCCAATTCCCCCAACTGTTCTCTTAACCTTTGCCAGGTGAGGAGGAGCCGCGGCAGCTGAGCATGTCCTCTGATAGCCCATGGATTTTACATAGTACAATTCGTAACGAGTACAGTTCGTAACGACCTGCTATTTTGGCCTAATTCCGACAAGCCCGGCCCTTTCTCTCTCTCCCGGGCCATGGTACCAGGAACGAGTACGAAGTAGTTCGTCGGCCTTGCGGCTCGCCAGGAACGTTCGGGCGGTTATCGAAAGACGATGTAACGGCGCGGCTCGTCCAAGGGCCTTCCGTCCCTGTCGACCGACATGTTCCCTCGGGGCATTGGTTTCCGCAAAACTTGCTGCTCTTTCGAGTTGTTTCTCGCGCTGAGGTTTGCTTCGAGCAAGGTGATACTATGCAATTCCCATTGTTCAACAATACTTGTGTGTGATGACCTTAAGGAAGACATGCGTGTGAGGCCGATCAACGAAGCTAGTACGGAGTAATTATGGCAACAAACCTCACGTTCCCACCCTCGGGCATCCGGAGAAGGAATCCCCCAGAGAACCGGCAGCAAGCGGGGAAGCAGGTCCCTGTTCCCGGGTGAATGGGACCCAAATTATCCAAGAGAACCGAAGGACCAGACGTTTGCTGTTGTTTAAAGCCCCGATCGCAGCTCTGGCCTTGCCGACAATGACTGTGGTTCTTGTTCACGCGTCGACCCTCTGTGTTTCCGCCCTCGAGATACGCCACGACCCGTCTCCCAACTCCCTTCCCACACGATGCGTGCCTCGTTGCTGCTCGCCGGCGCTTCGGCTGTCCTAGCCAAGTGCAGTTTCGATACTCTGGTCACCTTTGGCGATAGCTACACTGACAATGGCCGCCTTGGATATTACATCAACAACGGTGGAAAAGCTCCCCCGCCGGGTAAGATGCACGACGAGGGCAATGTCACAGCCTCTGGCGGCTTGTCCTGGGCTCAGTTCGCCGCTAAGAACGCGGGCGCGAAACTGATGGACTATGCCGTTAGTGGTGCGGTATGCTCCAACAAGATCGTGTCCCGCAACTTCGACTACATCAACCGAACGTTCCCGGCCATCCTAGACGACGAGCTTCCGTCGTTTGAGGCCGACATTGGCTTCAAGGCGCTGTACCCACACCGCACGGCAGGTAACACCGTATACGCCGTATGGATCGGGACCAATGACCTGGGTTTTGACGCGTTCTTGTCCGACTCGCAAACCCCCGGCTTGACTATTAGTGATTTTGCCGAGTGCATCTTCTCTGTGGTCGATCAGGTCTACAAGACCGGCGGCCGGCGCTTTGTGCTGCTCAACGAGGTACCGCTGGAGTTGACGCCGCTGTACAACACCCCCGACAACGGCGGCACGCTGGACTCTCAGTTCTGGAAGAGCAAGAGCAGCTACAACATCACTGAGTACAGCCAGAAGATAAAGGAGTACTCGTCCCTGGTCAACACGATCCTCGACTATGGCGTGGCTGTCCAAGCTTCGATCAAGAAGCGCTGGCCTGACGCCGTTGTCGACGTCTTTGACGTCCATAGCCTCGTCAGCGATATTTACCACAACCCCGCCGATTACCTCGAGGCACCGCATGATCCCGCTCTCTACTTCCACCACTGCGAGCCGGCCGGCAGCCCATGTGTCGACCAACCCGGCTCGCTCAATGGTTATCTTTGGTACGACGAGTTACACCCGTCCAACAAGACTAGTAAGTCCTCCTTGTGCTCTTTGTCGTTGACATTCACTGTATGGAAATGAAAAGCAGTGTGTAAGTGCTGATGCTCGTGTTAGGCTCCATCATTGGCCAGCATTTTATCGACGTGGTGGCTGGCAAGTCCAAGTACGGATCCCGTTTCCATGGAAAATAAGTGAGAGGGGCTCAGATGGCAGAGACATTGGATTTAGCGACCTGCGTAATACAATAATTGATAAACTCCAAGAAAACGTATTGAATATTTCCGACGGTTACCCATGCCGGTTCTTAGCGGTCTCGGTGGATTTGCAAGTTGCATTGGCGGGGTTGATGAGAACTTCAAACAAATCTTCGTGATGGCAAGAGCAAGCGATGGGCGGGTGTCAATTACCCCTGCACCCACACGGGTCGTGCCCCACTTTAGCACCGCAGAGTTGTCCAATCATGTTAGCGAAAGCTCCTTCCTGGCCGGGGTACGCCCCACTCAACCCGCTTTTCTGTCCTCTGCAATTTGCATCTGGCCCTCGTGGCATTCTCGCGACACGCAAACCCTTCGCCCTCCGACACGCCGCTTGCCGATGGCCAAAGCAGCACCGGCATCAGCAACCAGCAGACCGATACACCCGACGTCAACCCACACTAGCATCCCCCCAATTCCTGGCATTTGGCCGGCAAGCCCTACCTTGATTATCTTTCGGCTCCAGCACTTTCTTCTCGGGGTCTGTCTTTCCCCAGGCGCTGTTCCCCCGCCTTGGCACCTGCGACGGGTCACGCCTGTCCACAATCCCCGGCATTTTGTTGTGTCCCACTGGACACAGCAGCACACAAAAGCCGCGAAACACAAAACGGCAATCCCGTGGGTCTGACCATCGGACGGGCGATCGAAAACCAGCCCACTGCGCGCCCTTCCTGGTCTCTCTGCAAGGCACGCTGTGCTTTGAGTTGCTGGACTGCCCGCCGCGCGGACTGGCTCTGTTGTGGCAAGCGAAAAGCGGCGGAGCACGCACCACTAGTTAACCTCCCCACCTCAGCAAACAGGCGAGCTGCTCAGCCCTTTGGAACCTCCTCAAGGGGTGAGACTGTCACTACTTCGGGGAGTTCGCACCCAATACACGCCTCGGTCGATTCTGTGTCCTGCCTGCTCTTTCCATCTGCTGGTCTCACTGAACCGCCTTTCACTAGTGAGAAAGGGCGAAGAGTTCGTCAGAGAACTCAAGAGGCTGCCACTCGGTTGGACTAGGATCCCAGGTGGCTGTCCTGCGTCCACAAGAGGAGAAATCGGCCGTGTGTGCCAATCCCCGGATTGGTAGCCCTGTCGCCTTTTCCCCACACCCGGCCGCCGCAATTCCTGATCTGCTCCGAGACGGCCTCTCTCTGTTCCATCCGCCGCTCCTCCTCTCAACCCCTGGCGCCTCTCGCCCGGCTCTTGGCTTGGGCAGCCTCCCGCCCAAATAGCAAAAGCCATGTATTCCGCTCCTTATGGCTACCCAAATGCCACAACCGGCCCCATCTTCAACGGCGCCCCACCCCAACAGCAGCAACCTGGGGGTGCACACCTGCAGTCTGGCGCGGGCCCGAGTCAGCAGCAGCAGCAGCAGCAACATCAGCAGCAGCAGCAACAGCAACAGCAGATGATGTATAACTCGCAGCAGTTCCCCATGCCGGGCCAGCCCGGCGGCTTTCCCGGCGGGCCCAACCCGGCTCTGATGGGAGGAGGTGCCGGTCCTGCAGGAATGATGCAGAATGCCGGCATGCCGCACATGGGTGCCAATGGTCAGAGTAAGCCAGACCCTCCTCTACGTTTCCTTTCCGGCGTCTGTCGCTAGAATAGTTGCTCCTTCGCTGGCCCTACTGTTTACCACAGCAGCGTGCCGCTTCTCTCCCGTGGGCCTGTTGGAGGGTTGGACGACCCTCTCCCCTCTCTCGTCACCCCACCCTCTTCTTCGTCTCATCCCACCTTGACTTGACGCAGCGTTTCTTCACGTGCGACGGTTCCACCTCAGTTCAACCCTTACCTCACCATGGTTCCCCCATTATCCAGCTTGCTATATTGTTTGATGTTACTTGTGACGGAGGCTGACCTGTCCCTACAATAGTGCAATTCCAGTCCCCTCTTTCTACCACCCCTTATGCGTCTGGCATTCCCTCGTCTGCGTCCCAGCCGCAGCTGCCGGCCAACTTCATGATGTCCGGTCAGATGGGGCCTTACCAAATGGGCATGGGCATGCCCGGTCAACCGCAAATGCAGCAGCAACAACAGCATCCGCATCAGCACCAGCACCAACAGCATCAGCAGCATCAACAACAGCATCAACAACAGCATCAACAGCAGCATCAACAACAGCATCAACAACAGCATCAACAGCAGCATCAACAGCACCAACAGGCAATGGCGCAAAGGATGCTTCCTGCTCAGCAAAACCCTGGTGGCATGTCCGTCTCTACACCCCAGCGGCAGTTTAGCCAGTCACAAGGCACACCGACCAGCTCGATACACCCGCAGCAGCCTCAGTTCTCTACGCCACAGGCTCAAGGTACCCCCCAGAGCCAGACGCCAACGACAGCTCAGCATCCTCCGGCGTCGTTGACAACACCACAAACACCAACTTTCCCTACGGAGCAAGGACAACCGCAAGCTAACGGAGTCTCGAGTGGTTCCACGCCTCAAAGTCCTGCGTCTGAGTCGCGGGATAAGGAGAGAATGGGCGTGTTGTTGGAAATCAACCAAGAGTTGCTGTATGAGTCAATACAGCTCGTGAACAGCAGGAATGAGTTGAAGAAGGAGCAGGCCTCGGATGCAAAGAATCCCGATATCGATTATGCGGAGGAAGAAAAATCGGCCAATCTCGACTATAACCAGTGAGCTCGGTCCTCCCCTCATCCTTTGTTCATATATCACAGGTCAAATGTCGTGCTAATCCCGTCACAGATGTATGAGAAGGCTCCAAGCCAATCTCACTTACATGTTTGCCCTTGCCGACCGCAAGAACAAAACCCCGGGCCCGTCCCCAGCATATCTCACTGCCCCGCCTCTCAACCTGCAGCTCAAACTCAAACTCCCCCCGAGCACCCCGGACGACGCCATCGAACGCCCCGCCGACCCGGCCGCTGACCGCAGCGAACGTGACCAGGTTCTCAAGTCCCTCTATAAAAAACTCCAGTCTCTCTACCCCGGTGTCGACCCAAAGAAGGAACCAGCCGTTCCGCCGGCTGGCGCCGGGGCACGCGCGCCAAATCCAGGGCCCCAGGCTGGCGGTGGAGGTCCCAATTTTGGGGGAAGTGCGGGGACACCCGGGACAGCGGGTGGGAAACCTCCCGTACCCCCCGGCCCGGGAGCTGGAGCGGGGTCTGCTCCACGGAACGGTCAAGGGTCGAGCCAGAACAGCCCGGCACCGATGCAGGGACAGAATCAGGGTCAGGGCCAGGGCCAACCGTCGGTTGAAGGAATTACGCCGGCAATGATGCAGGCTTAGTGGGCCGTTGACGGCGGGGCTTTCTGATGTTGGGGCGGTGGGAGTCGGGGAATGAGGAGAACGACAGGGGAAATGTGTTATTTAGGGTGGGAGGTCGAAACGGGTAGGGAGTGTACGATGGAGGGATTGATGGATGGGTATTCACCCCAGAGTGAAGGTTTAAGTCGTTGTTTTTTTCAAGAAGGATGGTGGGGCTTTTTATTTTTTAGTGAGTGCAATTCAGTACATGGTTAGAGTTTCATATCGTTGGCGCAGTTGCAGGGTTTGAGTCGGTTAAGTCAAGATCAACATAAGACGACGATGCACCATGGCTGATAGAGAGAATTCGGAGGTGAGGGAGTGTTGGTACGCAAATCGGTGTTTTAGGCAAGGGATAACGTTAGTTTGAATGGAGAATTTTATTGGTTTCTCCTGAGACCTTGTTTCTGTGTGCCGGTCGCGCGTGTTTCTGAAAGTAACTTAGTTTCTTAAAAAAAAGAAGAAAAAAATTATTAACCAATTCCTTGTTTTAGTTAGTTACCTAAACCGGAGATAAATCACAAGACAAAAGTCCCGAAAAGAGGACTCTAACACTCAGTCGTGTTCCCCATCCGGCGACATCCTGATCTACAAGCCGTACACAGCACATTTGTTTAAAAGGGGGCCGGAATGGAACACCGAGGTCGGCCGGTGTTGAATTCACCAAATCACACAGGGGTCAAGAGGCATGTCCTGTGGCGTCAGTGGCGGAATTAGTCAGCAGAGTTGTCGGCGGTCCCCCCATTCTCATTGGTATGGCCCGGACTCGAGCCTAAACAGCGGCGCATAGGGCGCTCTCATCGCCGGCATCAAATTATCAAGGTACTTATTCTTCGTAACGCCAAAGGAGTTCTCTAGCTGACGCCCACAAGAAATCGACCCCAAAAGCATGCCCCCTATACTTCGTATTATAGGTATGGTTCACTAGCTAATCTGGGTCACGGGATCTATAGGAACAACCGGTGCCTGTCCGGAGTAAACGCAAGTGCAAGCACTCAAAGAGGGGCCGGCTACCAAGAACGGTCGTGCCGAGACACATCTACATCACGACTCTCCCACCCCAAAGACTCAGTCTTCTCCCAACCTCACACCCTTCCCCATTACCACCCCAACGCGGACTTGATCGCCTGCGCGAGCACAGTCCCCTCCGCCGCATGCGTCGCAGCATTCGGATGATAATCACAGCCCACATCGCTCCCCTGCGTCGGCCAGTCGACAAAGTGCGCCTTGGCGCCCAGCTTCGAGACGGCGCTCTTCAGGGCGTTGGTCTGCGTGGTCTTTTGCGCGTCCGACGCGGCGGGGTAGTAATCGCTCAGCATGGGCGAGCCAACTAGGAAGAAGTGCGCGTTGGGGTAGTGCGTCTGGATGCTCTGGACAAAGGACACCAGCCCGTTGGTGTACGTGGTGATGTTCAGTCCGTCGCGCGCGGGGTAGGCGTTGCCGGAGGCGTCCCATGATATGTAGCTGAAGTCGTTGGTGCCGAGGTTGATGACGACGGCGGCGGGGGACCAGGTCGAGGGGTAGGTGTAGCTGTTGTCGGCGTCGTTGGCGCCGTAACGGGTGTAGAGCTCCGGGATGAGGGGGCTCGTGTCGACGCTGCCGGTGGCGATGTTGCGCACTACGCCCTTGCCGCTCCAGGCGATCACGCTGTAGTCGGCGCCGAGGGCGGCGGCGGCAAGGGCCCCGTAGGTTTTGGGGTTATCTTCGAGGGCCGCGTTGTTGGTGCACGGGTTGGTCCCGTCGAGGCCGTAACCCACGGTGATGGAGTCGCCGATGATCTCGATCTGGCGGGTGGGGACGGTGCCGGCGACGAAGGCGCCGTTGGTCGTGAGGGAGCCGAGGGAGATGGAGCCGTAGGAGGGCTCGGACCGCTTGCGGAGGGTGACGGTGTGCGTGCCTTGGGAGAGGCCGGCGGGCGTGGTAATGCTGGAGCCAAAGCTGGTGATGACGACGGGAGCGCCGCCATCGACGACGAGGTCCACGCTGTTGGTGCCGCTGACGGAGGCGATGCCGATGGTGGCGGAGGTTCCCGTGAATGTGAAGGAGATGCCAGAGCCAGGCCAGCTCAGCTCCTTGGTGTTCGGGTTGACGCGGCCAAGATAGCGAACGCCAACAGTGCCGGTCGAGGTGGGCGGGGTCGACGTGGTGGTCGACGTGCCCGAGGCAGGGCGTGAGGAGGTGGTCGACGTCGCCAAAGTGGTCGCGGCAGCTCCGGGCTGGCACTGGCTGTACCAGTCATTGACGGAGACACAATGGTATCCAGACACGCAGCTCTTGGCACCGGCAAAGCCAATGCCACCGCACTGCCCCCAGGCACCGCTCTGAGCGGCGGCACCCGAGGCCAAGAGCCCGGCGATGACAGACGACTTCATGTTGACACACGACCTCGGGTTGACAGACGACCTCGGGTTGACAGACGACCTCGTGTTGGTAGGTGACTCGAAGGAATGCTCGGTGGTTGTCGATGGAAGCAAGAGAAGAGGAGAGATCTTTATTGACAAAACCGAGCTCTATATAGGGCTCGCGGTCGGGTTGATGATGCCATCGAGTGCATCGGAGAGCGGTGCGGTGCCGGATGCGGAGCCGGATGCGGAGGCGGAGGCGGAGGCGGAGGCGGAGGCAGACGCAGAGGGGGCTGAAGCTCAACGTCCCTACTCCTTGGTAGCGTCCCCTACGCAGTGTATTATTTCTCGGCGTCTTAGTGTAGTTCCGGAAAAGGATTCGGAGCAAAAGTCACATGGCGACCCCTAGACGGGCAGAATGGTATCCCGATCGGAAACCCCGCGAGGCGAATCCGACAACTCTCCACCATCGACGATGCTCAACTCCAACAACACCAACGGGTTGCGGTAGAACGCGGGCCAGCCTCGGACGAAGGGCAATCAGGAATGCTCATTCCAAATCAGAGCAGGAAGTCGAGGTGGGCTCCGTCGGATGCACGGGCAGGCGACGGGCGAACGGGACAGGACGATATATAAACCAGCAGCAGGAGGACTGGAGGTCTGGCCCGGGGCAGGGTCGCTTATACGCCCAATGGTCACGACATCGGCCCGATGCAGCATTTCCCCAAGGGGCCATCTGAGGCGCGCCGACAACCTTGTTGCCCGAGAGAGTGGGCCGGTTTCCGGAGGTGTTGCCTCCGAGGAAACATGCTCTAGTGTCCACAGTACCTAAGCTCAAGGGGGTTACTCTGGCTTCGACGGACGCATGGTGAAGTCGTTGTGTGGATTGAGTTCTGACGCTGTGGGTATCACGACAAAGCCGCTGTTCTTTTCTTCTTTTTCTTATTGAATTTTTTTTCCTCTTTCTGATTCATGAAGCTAAGCAGAGGTAGGACGTTGACTGGGCGTCGTATTCGCGACGGAGCACTCGGTCTACTATGTAGCGAGGCGAATAATGAGATGCAACGTAGATAAGCGACAAGCCGCTGCGCATGCGCCCGTTATTATACCGACCGCTAACACCTGTTGTGTGTCGCAGAGAAACCCACAATTGCGCCAAGGACGGAGCCCTGGTGTGTGTGTCGTGCATGAGGGGTTTCCAGGTTGGACTCGGGGTGCAACAATTGCGTACACTACATAATGTCACATAATGGTGGCCTCGAAATCTGGATCGACCTGGTGCTCGGATGCCCTGAGCAACAATCGAGGAGGACAGGGGTCAGACGAGCCCTGAGAGGCTCCCGAATGCCACCTCCCAAACGGGTGCCGGGAATCCGGGGTCGAGGCCCAGCGAGCTAAGGCCGGATACCATTTCATGGAGAAGAGAATTCGCTGGCGCGGGCAAGTATCCGTACCTAGGTACTTATTCTTGTTTCCAACCTAACTCCGCCGCAGTCGGGCCATCAGATAAAGTCAAAAGCCCTTGTCGCCGACAACCCCGCTCAGACAAACCATAGGTGGTTGTGATTCCGGTTTGGGTTTGGGGCTAGTTAGTTCTGCAATGTTCGGGACCGTCTCCGTCTCCGAGATGTACTGCGCAACTCCCGTATAGCTCCACCGGTTGACGTACGCCCTGGGTGTGCCGTCCTCGCAGTCCAGTCCCGAGCCGGCGCCGTTGCAGGTGGCATACACTCCGATCAGCGTGCCAACGAACGATCCCGTCCCGCCGCTAAGCAGCTCCGCCGATGCCTTACCCAACTCCACCTTGGTCCTCTCATCCGCCGCCAGCATCGCCGCAAACCTATACTCGGTCGGCGTGGTCATCTGGATCTGCAGCCGGATGGGCTTACCTGCTTTGCCTGCTCACCACCCCTTAGGTACCGCGCTCGCCTTCGTCGTCTGGCCCTGCCCGTTCCCCGATGCATTGAACCGGAAACTCAACTGTCCTCCGTCGTCGTCCAACACGACTCCTAGGTGCACGTTCTTGCCGTTAAGGCCGAGGTACTCGTAGATCACGTAGAAGGTGCCGTGGCGATGACGGATGGTTGCCGCGTACATGCCTTGTTGCTGCTCCTTGGTGGCCCAGCTATAGCCGGGGAGCTGGGACTCGCAATTCCACACATGGCCGATGTGCTTCCAGTTGATCAAGCCCTTGGAGGCGTAGACGGGCAGGCCGGGGAAGGTGACGAAGGTCGACGTCACGCAGTAGAATGTGCCGTGGATCTGGATGCAAGATGGGTCGGAGCTCCAGCCGGGGAGAACAGGATTGTAGTAGGTTGAGTTCGAGTTGTGTGCTAGTGCCGCCACTGCTGACCCGGCATGCAGCGCCAGAGTCAAGCCGGAAAAAACCTTCATGGTCGAGAATCAGTCGCCACGGGATCATCAAGAGTTTATTTGTTTACCAGAGCTTGCTTACCAGAGTTTGTTTACCACGTTTATAACCACGAGGTCCTCCACTTTGTTTCTCAACCAGAAGATGGTCCGGCTACGATTTAGGCCTTCTAATTAGATTGAATTGACGGATTGCGATTAAAAGCCTGTCGTTGTCGTTCCGGTCGAGGTTGCCTTCCAAGTCGCTCGCAGCTAATTCTTCAGGCACTGGAGTTCGGGTACTGCATCTTCGCCCCGACATCCCCGGAGCCAGTTTCTGTAAGGCGCGCACTCTATCCAGGGCGGCGGTGTACATAGTAACCGATCTCGGGAACATGGATTGCAACTACGTTAAACTGTCCCGGCGATCCGCCGGCCTGTTGCGGGGATCGAAGAAAAGGATGGATATAGCACGAGCGGCTGATTGCCGGACGCTGTGAACATCCCGGGCTGTTTTCAAGAATTGCTTGGTCGGCCTCTGACGTGTTGTTGGCTGGGTGGGAAACATGGTGATGGAATTGCATCACGCGTTGCAAAAAAAAAAAAAAAAACAGCCCCCGGGACGGCAGTACGGAGTAACTATTGCCCTTCCCAGCCGCGCCGGGTGGCCGACGGAGGAAAGAGTGCCGGGGGAGCTTCTGGACGGGCATCAGGGATTCTGTGCTCGCGCTACTAGCTGCGAACTGACTACTATCTAGCTTGCTAGGTAAGGTAACTAAGGCCAGCCGAGATCGCCTCCGGCGCTTCGTTTGTGTCGAGTATTGGTACCGACTGCTCGGTTTTACGCTGTTATTGAGGGGTGCTACGTATTCGTATACTGGGAGTGGTATTGTCACACGGAGAGGCTGATCCAATTGCTGGTGAGGTGAGATAGGCGACGGCCCAGATGCAACTCATTCCGCTCACGGTACGACGTCCCAGACCGACTGCAGCGAAGGGCCGTCTACATAGTACACTCGACGTTCTAGGCTTGGAACTTACAAGTCATCAGATCCCTCCCGCAAAATGGCATGCCACTAGCAAGGGTCCCGGGGCGAATTCCTTCTCGAAGGTTGGCCCGCTTAGCCGATAACGTTAGGTCAGCCCCTGTCCGGCAAGGACTTCGGCTAGGTACGAACAGCTAGGACCTTACACTACTTCGTCCTTAGGTAGGTATGGTGTTACCCCTCTCTTTGGAATGCGGCTAAGGTTACCCACCGCAATGGTCAACACCAAACCCTGCTCCTCGCGCGCAAGCACAGAAGGATTTCGCAAATATGATATCGTCGCGCGTGCGTCTGAGTGGTTGATCTCGGGTCTCCCGCCCGCATCTCTTGGTGGCTTATGCAGGACTGTGAACATGTCGGTGAGTCCGCGCGGGAAGCATGTCGATGTCACCCGTGCCGTGCCGCACTTCGGGCATCCGGCTCGGAGGTCGGCCATCAGCTCCGTCGGTACCTGCTTTCTGCCCCATCGACGTTGACCATCTCCACTCCATCCGATCATGCTGTTACGGTGTTACGGTGCCATTTTCTCCTAGTATAAGTGCCTCGTGGAGGTGAGGACAACGCGCGGCTTGTTCCATCTTCAGCCACCATCACCGCCTCGGCCATTAATAACCCCACCATCAGGAGCTGTACTGTGTAGGCACCTCTCCCTCCTCGCGTCGTCTGCTGCCTGCCAACATGCGACTCACCCAGCCTCCAGCAGCCCTAGTGCTGCTGGCCGTCCGCGCGGCCGCACGGTCGATCCTGGACAAGTCGTCGTCGCTTACCCTCCTGTTCCAGAACAATCTGGATCCCCTGGACGACGGGAACCATGTTGGCGCCCTCCTTCTCGACCCCATGCCCTACAGCGCGGGCGTCGCCGCCTGCGCCAGCCTCCACGAGACGCTGGTTACCCCCGACGTTATCGGCAAGCACCCCCAGGACTTCGCAGACTCCCTCCGGTACCTCCAATTCTCCGGCCATGTTCGCCCCAACTCGCGCTTCTTCGTCGCCAACGCCACCCTCAGCGTCCCCGTGGAGGCCGGCAGCAAGCCACGGCTCGAGCCCATCAAGGCTGCCGATGGGGCTCTGAACGTCCTCTGCACCCAGTCCGAGCGGGCGGCCAGCGCAGACGTCTCTTCGCCCTCTGCGTCCAACGCGGTGAGCGTCACATCGGCCGCTGGGAACACGTACCTTGGCTACCGGAACCTGAAGTCGTTCCGCTTCCTGGGCATCCCGTACGCCAACCCCGTCTCGAGGTTCGAGTACTCGACCGTGTACAGCAAGAAGGGACAAACCATCAACGCCCAGGGCTACGGCGCCAACTGCGCCCAGGCGTACGATGACACGAGCAAGGAGGACTGCCTGTTTCTCAACATCCAGACCCCTTACCTCCCCGGCACAGCCCAGCCGAGAAGGAGGAGCTTGAAGCCCGTGCTTCTCACCATCCACGGCGGCGCCTTCACCGGCGGCAACGGCGGGAGCGGGTTCGACGGCGGGAACCTAGTCTCCCGAGAGGACATCGTCGCCGTGAGCATCAACTACCGGCTCACCACCCTCGGCTTCCTGGCCATTCCCGGGACCGACATCAAGGGCAACTTTGGCATCGGCGACCAGGTCACGGCCCTGCGCTGGGTCCGCCAGAACATTGCTCTGTTCGGCGGCGACCCGGCCCGCATCACCGTGATTGGCGAGTCGGCCGGCGCGGGGTCCGTCAAGGCCCTGATCGGCTCCCCTCCCGTCATCCGGGAGAAGCTCGTGGCCGGGGCCATCGCGCAGTCGAACCTGGGGGGCGGCGAGGGCATGGGCCCCAGCGCGTCGTACAGCACCACGTACAGCAAGTACTACACGATCGAGCAGTCGTACGCCGTGGCGGGCCAGCAGATCTTCCGCGGCGCCGGGTGCAACCAGACGCAGCTCGACGAGCAGATCCGCTGCCTCAAGGCGGTCCCCGCCAAGACGCTCGCCAACCTGCCCGACGTGGCGCGCTACGTCGTCCAGGACGGCCATTTCATCAACGCCAGGCAGCTCAACGTCGCAGCCCGCGACGGCAGCACCGCCCACGTCCCCGTCATCTTCGGCACGACGGCCCACGACGGCGCGTCGTTCTTCCCATACCCGCAGGGCGGCAACTTCACCTCCGAGGCCGACTTCATCGCCGCCGCGCTGGGCGTGGACGCGGCCTCGGCGCGCGCCATCCTCGACAGCCAGCTCTTCCCGCTGTACTCGACGGGGAACCTGTCGCTGGACGCGTTCAACGTCAGCCAGCGGGTCATGACCGACGTCGGGTTCCGCTGCATCGACGAGGCCATCGTGTACGGCGGCGCGCGGTCGGGCGTCTTCCCGGCGGCCTACTACTACACCTTCGACCGGACCAACGGCGGGTACGACCCCAACGGGCTCGGCGCGACGGGGCTCTCGGCCGGGCCCGTCACCCCCGGATACCCGCTCGGCAACCCCAACCTGCCCTACTTCCGCCTGCACGGCGCCGAGATCGGCTTCACCTACGGCAACGTGCTCCCGCGCGATCCCGCCGATACCAAGGCCACCCAGCTCATCACCGGCTTCTTTGCCAGCTTCGCCAAGACGGGCGACCCCAACCCGCCCGAGGCGTACCTGCGCGCGCGCGGCTATTCCGAGGTGAGCGTGCAGCCAGCCAGCCCTCTCTCCTTTTATTTTGTTTTCGTTTCCTTCCCTCCAACCTACCTATGCTAACCTGACCTGCCCCCCCTTCTTCTCCAGGCCCTCGCAAACCACCGAGAGAGCGGCCCGTGGCGCCCCGTGTCGAGCGAGGCCGGCCCCGGCAAGTCGCTGGACTACCCGGCGCGGACCATCTCGCTGCCGGACCGGGCGCAGTGCGCGTGGCTGAAGTATCCAATCACATATTATTTGGACCAACGAAAGAGTTAGCTCCTGTAATAAGTTGTAAAATAGACGTTTGTGTGCTGGTTTGGGGATAGCTGGGGATAGCTGATTGGCGGCGTCGTAAGTGGTTTTGCGATGACATGTCCGGCGTTGAAAAATGGACAGATGGTTACGTGGTGCTCGCTTGCGGTGCAACGGTTTGGGTTTGTCAAGATCCCCGCAGCCAGGTCATGAAAACCCAGCGATTGCACGCCAGGCAACTCCCGAAACCCGTAGCAACACCGCCGCATTCCCCTCGCGACTCAGCTCCAAGTTTCTTCAACACGAACCCAGTGCCGCCGGGAAGGTAGGGGGTCTGGATGTTGAGAAACATGGAGGAAGTCCTCCTTGCCCGTGTCATCGTACGGCTGTGCGCAGTTTGTGCCGTAGCCCTGGGCGCTGATGGTCTGCCCCTTCTTGCTCTACACTAGATGCGCGCAACAAGGTTGAAATCCGGCCGTGTTACTAGTACAGGTACGTGCTTGGACCCCTATTTCCCCGTGGTGTAGTCGGATACGAGGGACCCACACCACGGGCACCCGTGAATTCAGCAGCCGGTTGCTTCCCCGGGCCGGTCTTCTCGGACAGGACCCAGGCGGTCGGGTCGCGGGGTTGCTGCAAACCGGGTCTCCGCCCTTCCCTCACACATTTCTGATGAAGGCTTCTTGCTGAACTCTAGGGCCGATTAATTCGGTCGGATGGTCGGATGGGTCTGCGAACCCCCTTAACTTCCCCTTTTGTGAGCCGAAACTGGACGTCGGTGAGCCTTGTGGTTTTTTTTTTTTGTTTTCCATGCTCAGCTGAAGCTGCGCGAAGACAAAGCATTCAAGATGGGCGCGTGTGAGTAACAAAACAGTGTGATTGGTATGGTAAACGAACAAATGGCTTCATCCTTTTCCTTGGGGTTGAGTGATGTTGCTTTTCCAAAAGGGGTTGATGATTGTTTTCAAGGTGCTGGTTGGCTGTTCGTTCGACGTTGCTTGTCGAGTTGCTTTCGTCCCTGACTCCCTGCAGGCGGCTGCTGCTGTTGCTGCAGTGCTCTCTGCTTGCTGGAAACGCGGCAGCGGGGAGAATGCAGGGGGCAGCCTTGCTTGTTTTCGAGCCCCACTCTTCCCATTCCCGCCCCGTGGCTCCGCATCGAATTAGTGATGTGTTTTTGCCGCCTTAACGACCCGATCTGGCGCTTCTCCGTCCTCCGTCCGTCACCTTCCGATCTGAACACATCCGACAGGGACGAACGCAGCGTAGTGTAGTGTAGACTAACCGCCGGTGGATTGGGTAATGCGCTTGTTTGTCCCCCCGAAAAAGCGAATTTGAGTGTACCAGCTTTTGGTCCTCTTCGATCGTCTCGTGCTGACCTTCGGCGGTGGGTGTGAAAGTTGCCCCGCATTGCCCGTTTGGACCTGGTTCCTGCAGGCACTTATTGCAAGGATATCCAGGGGCTCGGCTCGAGCTTTCTGGGACCGTTCGTCCCGTCGAAAAAGCTACTTGCATGCGCTTCTCTGTTTACGCCGCAGCCGATTTTCATTCCCCTTTTTTTTCCTCGGCGCGAGTTTTTTTTCGCGTCTGTGATGAATCTTACGGCATTCAATAGTCGATTGTCAGCTTCGCCTGGGTCGCCTTAAGCCGTGGGCCGCCTGTGATCGAACCGTTTCAGTGTCCTCAGCCCCTATGTGAAACTGGGGGAAAGGCTGCCCTGCCCAAGCAAATCGCATGCCAAGCTCCACACAATTCGAGGTCGACGATCTTGACCACCTCGATCCACTTCTTCGCGCCTAGCGGGTTATCCCTGCTTCGTGGTCTTTGAAAGCTAGCACACAACGCCCTTTGGGACGCCAGGCGCTTTTTCGAGAAGCGTGCCGGCGAGAAAAAAAAGAGGAATCAACGACGACGAGATCCCAAAGAGGAAGGATACGCCACCGTGGCCTAGATTTTGGGGAAACACCCTCAACGCGATATTTGGATGACGGGCGAACACCGGTAAACCGGGAGCTGGGACCAGCGTTTTCGCCAATTTCTCAGAACAACACGATCCCATCCCACGATTTTCGACGCGAATAAAACTCCACCGCCACGCCCGACTTTTCGCTCACGCCCCCGGAGCCGCGGGATTGAGTCGGCGTTCGGGATGGAGTCTGACCAGCATGGAGGGGATTCACAACGGGCTTGGGCGCCCACCGACTCAGCGTTGCTGCGAAGCGAAACCGACCCAGGCCCGATCAATTCACCGCCACGCGGTACAAATATCAAAAAGGAAGCGACCGACCACGACTCTCTCGTCACCGTCCGCCTCTCTGAGCCATCGTCGCTCCAGGTGAACACGACAGTACCGCCAAGCACGATTCTGCCGAGAAAGAGCCCGCTGCCGACTTATGCAGTCAGTAACGCCACATCCGAGCCCGAGACATTGGTCAAAGAGGAGGGGGACGGTCCCGAGCGGAACGATGGTGATGATGGCGGCGACGACAACAACGACGACGACGATGACGATGACGATGACAGCGAGTCGGAGATTTTCGAACCGGAGACCTCAGCGTCAAATCGCCGACCAAACTTGCTCCAGGAATTGGGACGATCGAGCGGAGAGAGTGCCAGCGATGGGGCCAAGAGACCGAAGTACAGAAGCTCGTCCTCGAGCACGGGGTCAGAGAGGGTCGACTGGGACGAGTTGCAGAAGAAGGAGGAGTTGGAATTGAAAGGCCAAGAGCCGGGCCATGTGCGTCACAATATCCCACTGAGCTGCAACATGCTGTGTTCACCACCATACTGACAAAGTCTTACGATAGACCACCACCGCATCAACAATAGTCAAACCCGGGCAAGGGATTGGTCGAACTGGCACGGACCTGAAGAGCACGGGGACCAAAGCCACCACTACCGCCATGGCCGCCACTAGAGGGCGGTACCCTCGCGAGAGCAAACCCCGACCGCCGTCGATGGCGCAACTACGCAAAATGGTCACCGGTCCGAGCCCCTCCGCCTTGCGGTACTCGACCCTCCCGCCGACGCCCATGACCGAGCTCGAGTTCTACTTGGCGCTAGTCAAAGATCCCAAGCAGACCGCCGCCCGCCTGCCGACGCTGCTATCAAACAAGGTCCGCAAAGGAGTGCCGCCACCGCTCCGTGGCGTAGTATGGCAGAGCATGGCGGGCGCCCGGGACAGCCATCTGGAGGATGTCTTTGAGCGACTGACTGGCGAATCGAGCCCGTACGAGGGCGTCATCAGCAAGGATCTTGGTCGCAGCTTTCCTGGTGTTGACATGTTCCGCGACCCAGATGGTGATGGCCAGCGCATGCTAGGGCGTGTCCTCAAGTGCTTCAGTCTCTACGATACCGAGATAGGATATTGCCAAGGGCTAGCGCTTCTAGTCGGGCCGCTGCTAATGCATATGCCGGACAAGCAGGCGTTTTGCGTCTTGGTGAGGTATGTGTTACTTTTGCCCTATTTTTTTTCTCCCTCCACCTCCTTTCTTTTTTTTTTTTTTTTCTCCCCCAAGCCTTGCGCCAAGTGATAACGCTACCGCGCTTGCGAATTCCCAATCACGTTTCTTGGCCAGAATGTGGCGGGCTAACAGATGCGGGCTAGACTGATGGAAAACTACGATCAGCGCCAATGTTTCGTTCCTGACCTGGCGGGGCTGCACATCCGAATCTACCAATTTCGCGAGCTGTTGCGACAGCATCTGCCCACACTGTCGGCCCACCTGGACGATTTGCAGGTTGAACCCGCCTATGTTTCACAATGGTTCCTGTCGTTCTACGCCGTAACGTGCCCCCTGCCAATGCTGTTTCGCATCTACGATGTGATTTTCGCAGAGGGCGCGTCGGAAACCATCATGCGCGTGGCGCTGTCGCTCATGCGCAAAAACCAAGTGCGAATCCTAGGCTACACCGAACTCGATGATGTGATGCACCTGTTGCTATCGCGCGGCGTGTGGGATTGCTACAATTACAACGCCGACGAGTTTGTCCAAGACTTTGTTGCACTCGCCAACGTCGTTACCAAGGAGCGAATGATAGCGCTCGAGCAGGGGTACAAGGAAGCTAAGATTACCCCCAGCGCCAATCACCGTGGGGCAGAGACGGCACATGCCTCTGCGGATGCCGATGTCACTACCGCTGCCTCCCGTTTCCTGGGTCGCCTTTGGGTCGCCTCGTCCGCCCCCAAGCTTACAACTTGTCTGCCGCCAACAGCACCTGCAGGAGCTGCTGCAACAACAACAACAACAACAACAACAGCCGCGCCAACAAGGGCTGCGACACCTACACCAACACCAATCTCATCTTCGACATCAGCATCATCCTCAACATCGACATCTTCAACATCGACATCCACCACCGCCACTCCCACCCCTAACAACAATCTCAACCCTGGGCTCGGCGCCGCGTCGGGCCCCCTTAGCATGCTTCGCCGCAGCCCCTCGAAACAGAGCCTCTCGTCGATGGAGGCCGCCTCGTCTACGACATCATCTGCCGCCAGTGTTCTTAGCTCCGTGTCAACCGAGGCAACCAATGTCTCCCGCGACAGCTCCGCCGACGACTTCTCCCGGGAAGCCACCCCATTGCCGTCGTTCAAAATCCCATCACCCGCTGCTTCCTTCTCCACCAGCATCAACACCTCCCGAGATGGCAGCAAGCACCTGCACAGCCAAATTGAGGACCTGCTCACTGCACTCAGCGAATTACAACGGAATCACACCCTTTTGGCCAATCAATTACAACGCGAAAAAGAAGGCCGCGAGGAGGACCGTCGGGCGGTCCGATCTTTGCTGGATGGTTTGCGCAACAAGGCAGAAGGGAGCGACGACAGTAGTGTGGTCGATTCTTCTTCAACAACAAAAACAACGAGTCCCAAGCCGACAGCAGAGCAGCTTTCCGATCTCCTGGACGCTGTGGAGGAGCGGTTTAGCGACTCGGTCACCAGCTCAAGGTCATCTGCATCGGAGACGAAACAGCAATTACGAGACGAGCTGGCACGAACAAAATCCCAATTATCTCAGGAGCGCGATAAGACGAAGGGGTATAACCGCAAGGTGCAAGAGATGGAGCAAGAACTATCCACCGTGAGGGAACAACTACGGGATACCCACGCGCACGTACGAAACGTACACCAGGAGAAGCAGCGCATCGAGAGGCAGATGCAGGGAATGAGACTACGAGCCTCGGACACGCCCGCCACGGCGGACAAGTCTGAGTGGCTTTCTAAAACAGCCAGCAGCAGTGGCGGTGCGGCCGCAGGAGTCGGCCTGCGGGAGCTCAAACTCGGCCGCAGCAGATCCACACCATCCCAGGCTGCATCCATCTACAGCAACAACAGCAGCAACCGTGTCTCGTCCATGTTGACGATGAAGAAAAAAGAGAGCCACGAGTCCCTCGCATCGACCGCCGTGCTGGGCCCGACCGATGCCTCCTCCGGCACTTCCGGCCTCGATACCTCCTCCGCATCTCTCACGACCCCGCTCAACGAGACCGATGCGCTCCTGCTCGAACTTGTCCAGGCCAAGACGGCCGAGGCGGTCGCGCGCCAGGAGCTCGAGGAGGCGAAGCAGAAGTTGGAGCAGCTGCGGAAAGCCTTTGGCCTTGCGCCTGGGGAAACACCCCCGGTAGGGATGTCCCACCATCATCACCATCATAACCACAATGCTGGCAACGCGGCGCAGTCGGCGGCGGCTACTGCCATGGGCATGTTTGGGCGGTTAACGGGCAGTACGGTAACGAGTCCTGTGATGTCTGAGTCGCCGTCAAAAGTATCGTCGCCACCACCACCAGCTGCAGGGGGCGCTGGTGGGGGGTTCTGGGGGTGGAGGAGGTGATGATGCATTACCGCCCACCTCTTTTCATATTATTCTCTGTTCGCCCCGTGGCTTTTTAAAACCATTGTGGTCACCTTCCCCTGTTCTTTTTTCGACTTTCCACACACATACGCTGTGGGATCTTGATTTCTGGCGACCTTGAGGGCATTTGGTGATACATTGTTGGGTTAATTTACTGGGGCATCGGAAAGTTGGAGCTAAGAACGTCGCAGGGCGGCTGAGTCTGTGAGCATCATGATACCAGGTTTCTACTTTTTTTTTTTCGGTTCTTTTTTTTTCTTTGCATGCATGCATGGCGGATGGAGAGACGAGGGAAACTGGGCCGACTTGTGTCTTACTGGGAGGAAGGAAAGAAAGTGCATATCCAAGGAAGCATTCTCCGACAATGTGGATGGGACAGGGTAGTGATATAAATTAATCCAGGGTCGACTACCCCATGATCAATGACAATATTTGAACAGTTCTTTTTCCTGTCCTCTTGATCTTTTTCGTCTTTTAACGACGAGGCTTCAACAATGTGTTCTTACTGCCCCGCCGTTTCTCCTACGAGCTACCTATGATTTACTGGTCGGCTAGAAACAAAATATTGTTCCCATCCATACCTTCTTAACTCACCTCTCAATGTGTTTACAAGGACGCGGAAATATTCTGTAGCTCGAGGCATTAAAATCGCGGCGTTACTTGGCTGAAATATGCATACACTAGATGCTGACGACACGAAGATAATTATCCTAGGAGAGACGACAGTGATGCCGGTACCACACAGTACAACGAGGATAGACACAGTGCCCGTTTAGTCGACTCGCAGCAAGCACCTGCAACCCTGCAGAACAACACACATATGAGTCGGAACGGGTCTTGCTCTTGTGGGTGGGTGTGGGCCAACTCAAACGTCATTCGTGTTCGCGTGCTTGATGTGTCGCGTGCCAGCGTCAGGCCGTCGCTCAAGAGAGCTTTTTTTTCTTTGGGGATTGCTCGCGACACGGTACGTTGAACTTCGTTCCTAGTTTCCTCTCACCTGTTTCCCGTTAAATTTAGAACGATGTATTTTTCATAAGGCTTCTTTTCCTACTGCGTCATCATCTCTTCCCCTCTTGACTGTTATCGTTTATTGAATTTTCTTCTTTCCTTTCCCCACCTTCCGTCATCGTGGTATTTGGCTGGGCGGTCTTGACGCATCATTTTGGCTCAGAATCACATGGGACGAATGGGACCAACAGAGGGTACATCCCAGCATGCAAGACTTTGTTAGAGCAGCCTCAGTTTTGCGTGTATTTTTAGTGTCTTGGCCAGAGTTATCTAACAAACCAGGATTTAGTTACTAGTACCTCGCTTATCCTGGGCAGGGGGGCAAGGGGGCCGGGGATTAAATCTCTGACAGGCATCAATCGATATTGGATACAACCGAAAGCGTTTGGTGGGGCCGAACCCGCGATTGCAAGTTTGCACCGCGAAAGACTGTTGCTGAAATTAACGGTGGATTTTGTGGGTTTGCTTTCATGTTACCCGTCGACCGAAGGCGACCATAAAGAAAACTAGCCAAAGGGTTTGTGGTCCTAACCCAACGGGGGCGGATTTTGCTTCTTGCGGCGCAGAGAGAGATAACAAACTGCACTCCCGTCCCGCAGGTCGGGTGTGACGCAAGCTTGCAGCTTTTTGATAGGGTGTCCCGGCGCTGGCATGATGAGATCATTGCACTGGTGCTGAACGCCGATTTGGAGTGCCTGCAGCAAGCTGGCGAGCTCTGGAATTGGTGGACACGGGGGGAGATGGTGGGGACCATTTTCAAGCTCTGGGGCGAGCTTTTGGTCTGGGCTCGCTGGGCTGTCGGATCTGGGTTGTGGTCCCGGAAGTCCTTGTCATTGTCGGCGGGACTGTGACTGCCTGCAAGTTTTTTTGATAAGCTGGCTGAGCTGGGTGGGAAATAATAATTCACCCTGGAGCCTGTCTCAAAGCCCTCATTGCTTCCTGCCTATCCCAACTTCTTGGAACACACACCTCGACCTCCATTTTCCTTCCACAACACCAAAATTCTTCACCATCCAGACCGAGCAAAACGGCAGAAAAAAGCATCTCTTGTCGCGATACACCTGGCATCCCATCATCGAGCTTTCACTTGCGTCAAACCGTCGTTCGCAGTCGCCATACTTTTTTCCCCTCGTGCCCCTCCCTGATCTAAACGTCACGGGTCCCCGGCCGCCCTCGTTACCCTCCCGAACCAACACCGTTTGCTCACGCGCTCGTCGCGACAACGAAGAAAAATGGCTGACGCTGCCGTTACCAACGGTAACCCTAATGTGGACGCTATCAAAGCGAGTAAGGTTCGTGTCATTTAGCTCTTTCTCGTTCGCGCCTGGCTGCTTCTACCCCCCCTGCTGTTCGCATTTTCTTGGCTAATAACTTGTGCAAGTGTTTCACAGCTCGACATCCGATACCCAACCCTCTTTTTGCCCCGACCAACTGACGATATCCCTTCCGCAGATGCCACGTCTGCTTACAACACTGTCACCAACGGTACGTTTACCTCGCCGATTCGAAAACAAATATCTGCCTATGCACTGCGAAAAGACTCTGACAGGAAGCTTGCCCCACAGGACCCGTAGCCCAGAACGTCAAGACCCAAACCTCCAAGGCCACGGACGAGATGTCGAACCTCGCTGCCGCCCGTCATCCGCCTTCTTACACGGCCGCCACTGGCCAGCCGCTGACGAACTACCACTCCTTCTTCTCGGAGCTCCTATCGTGGCGCAACCCCCGTACGTGTCGCCCTCCCGACTTCCGATACCATAGGCCAGGAACATACTGATACTTTTGTGCTTTCCAGGTGCTTCAGCTATCGCCTATGCATCCCTAGTCACACTCATCTTCGCGGTTAGGTACCTCGATGTGCTGCGCTGGGCTTTTAAGCTTACCTGGATGGTTCTTGGCATCACCATCGCCGCCGAGGTCGCTGGAAAGGCGCTTCTGAACAACGGCTTCGCCACTCAACTTCGCCCTCGCAAGTACTACACCATCCCGCGCGAGACGCTCGAAGCGGCGATTGGCGACGTCCACGAGCTCATCAACTTCTTTGTTATTGAGTCGCAACGTGTGTTGTTCGCCGAGAACGTGTATGCATCGGCTGCTGTAAGTGGGCTCCACAATCGACTCCACAACCCGATCAAGCGCCCGCAGCTCCCGCAGCTCCCGCGCAGGATGCCACAGAGAGCTAAGCTAACCCCCCTGCAGGCTGCATTCGGTGCCTTTCTCTCGTACTACCTCGTCAAGATCGTCCCGTACTGGGGTCTCGCCGTCATCGGCACCACCGTTGTCTTCTTCACCCCGCTCATCTACACCTCCAACCAGGAACTCATTGACAACCAGCTGAAGCACGCCAGCGAGGTTGTCAACGCCCAGACCGCTCAGTTCCGCACCGTTGCTCAGAAGCACACCGAACAGGCCACCCAGGTCACGAAGCAGTATGTAGGTGACTACACTGCCAAGGCCCAGGCTTTGATCAAGGGCGCTCGCGGCCACGAGGTCAACGGACAAGACAAGACCAACGGGCAGGAAAAGCCTTCCATCAAGGCGACTGATTTCCCCACCGCTCCTCAGGAGGAGCTGAAGCACCCCGATCCTGAGCCTGTCGAGGTTGTTGAGAACACCTTCCCGCCTGTCGCCAAGACCGATGGCGAGTCTCTGATCGCCGCTTAAGAGCCTTAGTGATCAAAATATTTGATGGCTGAGAAGTTCTGTGTACGACGACACCAAGCTCACTAACATCTCAACGCCTTGCTCGCTGAGCGTTAATAAAGCAACATCTCCGGTAATAACCGGTTTAGGAAGGCAAAACTGGTAACTTGTGTTCTAGGAGGGAACGCACAAATCTGTTTTTAGGGGGGTTGTCTCCGTTGATGGACGACGAGCTGGTTTTCCTGAGATGAGGGGGGATGGGGGTGGGTGGTGTATGTTTTCTGGGAGACGGACACATGGGCATGGGACTTTCCCAGGTTTTATAGGGTGGGTTACCGGATGGGCGGAGTACCGTGTTGATATTGTATGCTTGATTTTGACTTTTTTTTTTTTTCTTAACACATCGTTTTTCCCACTCTTTCTTGATCGTTTGGGGTAACTGTGATTATGTATGTTATTAGCTTGTTGATGCTTGGTGGTCTGTGGACGATGTATTGGTATGATATGCTCTTCTTAGGCGTGTGTGATTAACATGAAAGTTTTGTGTTTCTGTTCGGGACCTCGCTACGACTGAGCAGCACCTCATGAAGGGGACGAAAATGCCTGGGGCCTGGGGGATCTAGATCGGGGGCAACCGATGAGAAAATCTTCGGACCTAGAGATTTCTTGAAACTTGTGCTGGACAGCGTTTCTCGTCTTCTACGATGTAAGAAGCACTTGTGCACTATACCGTCCAGAACAACGATGAGGTTTCATTTTGAAATGTGCTCACGGAATAGGTTAATGGGGTGACAGAATACTAGCAGTTTCCACAGGGTCACCAGTAACAGGCTAAGTTGAATGGAGCAAAGCAACGTATCAGTGTTATGCAAGAGATCCCATATATAGTTTCGGACTTACTTCCCTTCTCGTTTATCTTCAGGTAGTCAAGCCATGAGAAGGGAGAATCAGACCATCGAGAGCAGAGAGAGTAAGGTAAATAAATAACTCCATACGGTGACTAAACAACAGAGATATATGTATAGAAAAGCCAATAAAAAAAGAAATAAGAAAAAAAAAGACACAAATAACCAGATGTACACGGTTGGTTCCCTTTGCCTATGCCCAGAGCACCACTTTCTCCGACTACCATAGCTCTCTCTCTCCGTCTTGACTGCTAGAGAGGAGAGAGCAAAGCGACAAATGAGAATGAGTGAGAATGACAGAAAGGTTAGGTTGGTAGTGGTTGAACAACCCACCGAAGAAAAAAGAAAAGGGCAGGGAATTCGTATCTCGTCAAGAACTTAAAACCAAACAACACAAATCAAATACTGTCCGTGGTTTGTTCGTTTGTTTGTCACCCCATGCAGCCACTTTCTCACCCCTTCCCTCCTTAACTCTGCACGCACAACTCACACCGCTCATCTAGTCACTATCCTCATCCATATCAAACGCATCACTATCAACTCTCTTCTTACTCTTGCCCTTGGCACGGGCGCCCTCGCCGCCAGAATCGGCGCTGACGAAGGAATCGTCCTCGTCTTCATCGACAATCGGTTTGGCCTTGGCCGCAGCCGCGCGGCCAGGTCTGCGCGCTAGGGGTTTGGACGGCGGGGGGCTAGCCGGCGCGTCCTCCATGAGCTCGTCGTTATCGTCGTCGTCGTCGAGAACCTTGCGGCTGGACTTGGCCTTTTTGGCGGCGTACGCTTTGGCGGCGGGTGAGAGGGCGGCGGTTTTGGACTTGGCGAGCGAGACGGCCGTCTTGCCCTTGGCCTTGGGGGCCGGCGCGGCGGCGGCGGCGTCGTCCTTGGGCTTGTTCTTGGCGCCGGCCGGGCGGCCGCGTTTCTTGGCTGCACCGGGGACGACACTGAGGGGGGCCTTGGCTTTGGAGGAGGCGGCTGGCTTTGCGGTGGCTTTTGGTGGGGCAGGCAAGTCGTCGTCAGATAAGAAATCGTCGATATCGTCGGATTTGGTGGTGGTAGACTTACGCGGAGAGGACATGGCGAGGGCCTCGTAGTTGGTGTCGTCGTGGTCGTCGACTTCTAGGACCGACCTCGACTGCCTGGACTTCACCCTGGGGAGCGGCGCATCGCCCGCTTCCGGCCGAGACATGGCAAACAGACTAAGCCTGCCACTGTTGGTCGCCGGAGCTCCTATGCCCTTGACCATGGCACCAACGTCGCCGAGCAGGTCATCACCGTTATCCTCGTCACTGTCTGAGCCGAACTCATCATCAATGTATGAGCGCTTGGCTTTGGCTGCGGCCCGCTTGGTTGGCTTTGCGGCGACTTCCTCGGCGTCAGATTCGTCGTCCTCGTCCGCGTATGATGGCTTGGCTTTGGCTGCTGCTCTCTTTGTCGGTTTCGGGATCACCTCCTCGGGCTCTGATTCTTCAACATCGGAATCTACAGGCGCGGGCTTGGCCTTGGCAGCTGCCCTCTTTGTCGGCTTGGGAATGACCTCTTCGGGCTCCGACTCCTCAAGATCGATATCAACAGGTGCCGGCTTGGCCTTGGCAGCTGCACGCTTGGTCGGCTTGGGGATAACTTCTTCAGGCTCCGAGTCGTCAAGATCATCATCATCATCGGCGTACGTGGGTTTGGCCTTAGGCTTTGGCGCCGCACGCTTTGTGGGCTTCTTGACAACTTCCTCCTCTTCCTCCCCGTCATCGATGTCCATCACATCGTCCACAAGCGAAGGTTTGGTCTTTGGCAGATCCAGGTCTTCGAGATCCTCATCGTCTAGATAGGCCGGCTTCGATGGTTTGTCCACAACTTCATCTTCAACCGGGTCTTCAGACTCATCCTTGACGTCGGCCTTGCCCAGCTCCATGAAGTCGTCGTCCGAATCGTCACTCAGCACATACTTGGACTTGGTCGCAGCCGCCCGTTTGTTGCGGCCGGTAGCTGCGGCGGCCGCCGGAGCAGGAGCGTCGTCGACCTCGGTCTTCACCATCGCCTTCTTGCCGAGAAAGGCGAAGTCGTCGTCATCCGAGAGGTCGGCCTTCGGCTTGGGTTTGGAAGCGGCCTGGAACTTCTCGGTGAATCTCTGGTGGGTCTTGGTCTCGACCTTCTCAGCCTTGACAGCCTTGCCCTTGGTCTTCTTCTCGGGCTGGTAGTCATCGTCGTCCTTGATACGGCGGCCCTTGCCGGCGCCAATCTTGGCCGATGCGCGACGACCCATTCTGCGGATACCGGTGGTGATCTCCTCTTCGAGCTTCAACTGAGTGTGCCACTCTTCGAGGAACCCATCGAGGTCCTTGATCCAGAGGTCCTTCTCGCTCAATGCGTCGAGTTCATCATACTCGGCCTTCTTGGCTGCGATCTGGTTCTTGAGCTTCTCAAGACGTTCGGTGGTAAGCGACCAAATGGCCATCTGTACGCTGTTAGCAAACTGTGGGGGGGTTGCAAGGTTCGGATCTCGACACATACCGACAGAAGGTAGTCATAATCTCGTGCACCGCTCGCTGTCTCTTCCTCTTCACCCTCGTTGTTAAGCTCCTCGTCGGACTTCTTCTTGTCGTCCTTCGGCGGGAAAGCCTCGTACTTCCTGTCACGGAGTTCCTGGACGAGCACGGCCTTCCTTTTCCGGTTGACCACGAGCTTCTCTTCCACGATCTCCAAAATGAAGCGGTACTGGTTCTTGAGCTTGCGGTAGTCAGCGTGGTAGACCCCGAGCCAGTGCTTCTTCCGGGCCGAGTACATCTTGAGGCGGTAGTTGTAGAACTCTTCCATGATTTGTTCCGTATTCTCGTACTTCTGGATCTGGCCACGAGTGTTGAACGCAACGAGGTTGGTGGTGGTGACGGATTTGGTGAGCTTGAACTTCTCGATAAGTCCTTCCTCAAGGGCTGCCTTCATATGCTTGTCCTCCATGTCGATGATGAAGTGAACAGTCTGATGGTCGTTGAACTCGCGGTAATCCTTGATGAAGCTGGACACCTTCTCACCCCGGATGATGTCTTCGAGCTTGGATTTGAAGTCATCCGTCCACATCCGGATCGGCAGCTCAGTGACGTGAATCTCATTCGGCTTCTGCTCATCCTGCTTGATAATACCGTTAAATTTGAACCTGTTGGGACCATCGGGTTCCACCACGCCCTTCCAGCCGCGGAACCAGGGGGTCATGGGCTGGAATGGCTTCTCCTCAGTGTCCTCGGGGTCAAACCGGCCCATCCGCCGCTTCAGGTTCTCAACAATGTGTACCGGGTGGTAGTTGGGAATTTGTGTACTCCAACCCGTACCGATACCGTCGGCACCATTGACGAGGACCATAGGGATAACCGGCACGTAGACCTTGGGCTCAATCTCCTTCCCATCGTCGTCCTGGTATTCGAGGCTGGGCTCATCAAGCTTCGAGAAAACGCGCCGGGCAAAGGGTGAGAGTCGCGTGTGAATGTAACGAGCGCTGGCGGCATCCGAACCACCAGAAAGACGAGAACCAAAGTTACCGCTGGGCTCGAGGCAGTTGACGTTGTTGGAGCCGACGTAGGTTTGCGCCAAGCCGACAATCGTTTGCTGCAGGGACATTTCACCGTGATGGTAGGCGGCCACCTCGGAGATATAACCAGCAAGTTCGGCAACCTTTTGGTCGTTGACAAGATTTCGCTTGAAGGCAGCGTAGATGACCTTGCGCTGACCGGGCTTCAAACCGTCGATCATGGAGGGGATGGATCGCATGTTATCGGCCATACTGAAAAGAATGAGTTCCTTGTGGACGAAATCGGTGTAAGACTTCCTGTGGGCCGTGACGTCCATGTACGTCCCTGGGACAAAGTTGCCCAACCATTCTTTACGGGCGTCGGCCTTTTTCTTGGAGAAAGCCAGCTCAAATAATTGGGACTCTTCGGGTTTTAGAATCTCAAACTTCTTCAGATGGCGGTCCAAATCCTTGAAGTAAATCTGGGCGTCCTCGTTCGAGGAACTACCCAGACCCTTCAAGTACTTGTATTTCCACTTCCGAATCTCAGACTTGTGGTTATCCTTCCACGTTTCGTACTGGGGCAAATTGAAAAAAGTTTTGAGGTTCTGCGGCTTCTTGGGATTGTTACCCTGCCACACCTTGACCACTGGGGTGATGAACTCCTGGAAGAAATCTTCCACGCGTAACAGCGACGGAAACTGGACTTCGAGGAAGTTGATGAGCAGCCCCTTGATATGGCTACCGTCCAAATCCTGATCGGCCATGATCATCAGATGGCCGTAGCGAAGGCCCTTGGTGTCCCGGTAGTCTTGCTTGTGCTTGAGGCCAAGGATTTTTTTGATGTTCTCAATTTCCTTGTTCTTCATGATCTGGTCCAGCGATGCATCGCGGACGTTGAGCATTTTACCACGGAGCGGAAACACACCAATGCGGTCGGGGTCCAAAACAGCACGACCGGCCACGGCCAACCCTCTGGCAGAGTCACCTTCGGTCAAGATCAAGGTACACTCGTGGCCGCGCTTGGAGCCGGCCCAGTTGGCGTCGATGAGCTTGTCGTTGCTGATGCGGGAGCGCTTGTTTCCGTCGGATTTCGCGAGAAGCTTATCCGCCTTCTTGTCCGCAAAATCCATGATATTTTGAATGGCCTCGGAGGCCTTGACTTTTTTGAGGAAAGCGTCGCTGAGCACACACTTACTGCCAAAGGCACTCATCTTGGTGGTCAACTGCTCCTTGGTCTGCGAGTTAAAAGCCGGGTTGTCGATGAGACAGTTGATGAAGATGAAGATGTGGTTGCGGAAATGCGAGGCCTTGAGAGAGTGGCCCTTTTTCTTTTTGTTCATCTCCTTGCCTAGCGCTTCGCAGATCTGATCGGCAATGTAGTTGACGTGCGTACCGCCGGACGTGGTCGCGATGTTGTTGACGAACGACACCTGCTGGAAAGAACCATCTGAAACAGTGAAACCGACCTGCCACAGCCGGCCGTTGTGCCGCTGCTGGTCAAACTCGACCTTCGCTGCCGGCCGTTGGCCATCGACGGCAAGATCACCGCGCTCGTTGGCAATCGCCTTGGCGTACAGCTCACAGTAGCTCTTGAAGTTGATCTTGAGGTGCTCGCCGTTCAGCCAGACCTTGATCCCAGACACCGTTCCGGCCAAATCGTAAACACGGCGATAGATCAAGCCCTCCAGATCGTCATCAATCCCGTTCTCCATCCCGAACCGCTTGTAGTCAGGCAAGAAGGACACCTTGACGAAATCCGAAGACTTGTTCGTGAGGATCTTGGGTTTCTCCATGACACTCATGTTGTTTGACCAGGTCTGTTTGTACCGTTTGCAGTTTACGGAGTCTTGGAGCTCGATGGAGAACTTCTGACTGAAGATGTTGGTGAGCTTCGCACCGTAACCGTTACGACCACCGACCGTCTTCTTCTCGTTGTCGTCGTAGTTGGAACCAGTCAAGAGGTGACCGAAAATGAGCTCGGGGATGTAGCATTTCTCCTTGCCGTGAATTTCCACCGGAATGCCTTTTCCGTTGTTCTCGACTGAAATCTCGCCTGTTGCACGGTCCACGGTGACTTTGAGATATGTCATGGAGCTGTCTCGTTGGCTGTTGTCCGCGGCGTTGACGAGAATCTCGTCAAAGATCTTGTACAAACCCGGGACGTAGGCCACGTTGCGGTTCTCCATGAGCTTCTCGGACGTGTTGTAGACCCACATCTTCTGATCCAGGCGCTCGACAGAGCCGATGTAGGTGTCGGGACGTTTGATGATGTGTTCGAGTTGGGTGAGTTTCTGATACATCTCGGTTGCTGTCTTGTCGGACTTGGCCGTGGGGCCGGCAGCTGGCGCGTCCCCATCCCCGTCCTCCTCCACCACCATGCTATCATTCTCGATTTCGGCGAGGGGTTTGCTCGCCTTCTTCGTTGGCGCCTTTTTCTGTTTCTTTGGCACACTGTCCTCGGCGTCGCTCTCCGACTTGGCCCGCTTTTTTGTCGCGCCCTTGGTAGCTTTGGCGGTTGTTGGGGCCGCCTTAGGTTTGGCGGTGGTCGGCTTTTTCGGCGCCGGTTTAGCTTTGGGTTTCTTCGGAGGCATTGTTAGTGCATGCGAGTAGAGGGTTAACTAGAGATTGTAGGTTGTAGGAAAAGAGTTGCGTGGCTGAAACCGAGTGAAAGGAACCAGGGCCGATCCAGATCCCGTCATCAGCCAGCGCAGGGGAAGTGCAACGTACGTACCACCTCTGGGGAATAGGCATCAGATTCGTCTTCGTAACCGAAGACGGAATCGCCGTCTGAATCCATGGCGACTGGCGATTGAAAACGGCGCTATTGTTCCACGGAAAGCGTCCTGGCAATTCGGCGACCGGAAGAAACGGCCGACAAGCGGGCAACAAAAGGCTGGGGCACATGCAGGAGGAGAAAGAACCAGAATCCGTCGCGACCGACGAACAATGAAAAGGCCAGAGGGGCTGAGCCTTGGTGTGGAAACGTCGACCGGCGCGCTTGGCGATGTTGCGATCAAAAAGAACGAAGAAAAAAAAAAGAAAGCACACAGACCCAAAGTGAGTGCGTGTCGAGTTGGGCTGTGGAGGGTTGAGGGTTGTCGTGGCGAGGAGTGCCAAAGGTAAACAGAGAATTGTTGTGCAGATTTCCAAAACAGGCACAGAATTCGACCCGTGGTTGAGATGAGGGGCCCACAGTGTTTTCACGCGACCAGGACGCGACTTGCATGAAAATGCCTAGCCGGATTTGGTTAGGGGTATTGTTGCCTCAGGCGGCACAGCACATTCCTTCTCTGTGGAGAGAACGTGGAAGCCCCACTTTTGTCAACGACAAACGGGCTTTCATCTTGGGCACTTGAAGGGAACACCTAGCAAAGTGATACAGGAAAGAACGAGATGAAAATTTTACGACCTAGGGAGCCTGGTCATGCAAGTGGGGGGACAGAATAAACTAGACAGCAAAGTACCACAACCGCCAAACACCACCATGTCACCACAATTCAAGAACCCTTATCCAGCTCAAGAATATCTTAAAATTCTGGGCAAGGTACTGCTAGATTGAACAGCTCCATTCTTTTGAAGAATTGCGAGAGAAAACGAGCATAAAACGCCCTCTTTGGCGGTGGTTTGGGGTGGTTGGGATACTTTGCTGTCTGGCTAATTCTGTCCCCCACTTGTCATGCACCTTGGAGCCTCCGGGTTTGCCCGATTTCGACAACCGGCGGGCTCACCACGAATCTACCCTTCGTATCTTGCAGTTTTGTCGCTTGGTTGGACCGAATGCGCTTGTTTGCGGTTTCGCATTGCACGGATCTCATTTCCAACCCCAATAATTGTACATGTACAGGTGTGATGAGGGAAGCGTGGGCCGTGTGGTGAGGCGGCCACGCTGGTCGTTCGACAATGTCCTTTTTCGCTGACGGACGCGACGGAATGCAGATCGAGTCCTTTTTGCAGCATCCCGTCGTGCCCGTCTCTGGCCGTGGGCTTCTCCAGCTGACTGTTTGGTATGTGTGTGTGAGAGTCTTAGTTAGTTCCCAGTACGTACCCCTCAGCCACCTACCCTCTTACCACAGCACGTTTGCTTCAATACGGTGTATTCTCCGGCTCTATTATGCCCAGTATAGTTATGCCCGACCTCTTATAAACGTCTTCCTCTTTTTTCTCGTAGACCACTCCCTAAAGAGCACCCTCTAAGTGCTTAGGTCAGTCTAGAGTCTCGAGGGTTGATCAACGGCCACGCACCGCAGCCGTGTGCCTGCCGGGCCGACTGTAAACGCCCGTCCCGTCGAAAGACACACACCCGTTTTGAGCGCCCTCCAATCCAGGCCGTTACATCGTGGCAGATTTCGGAAGTAGTCCCCCCCCCCCTGCCAGGGCGTTTCCTGTCAACTACCGCATCCCGGGGCGGGGAAGGGAAAAAGCCTCTTTTGCTGCAGGATTTGTGTGCGTGTGTGAGTGTGTGTGAGAGAGTATGTGTGTGTGTGTGTTGTGCTCTGCTACCTTACCCCCGGCCTGTTGTACCACTGTCAATTTGGATGCCACATGCTAGGAAATTTCCCGACCCGATGCCTATAGCCGCGACATGCCTTCTGGCAGTCGCACCGCCTTTAAAGTTAGTTAGGAGCCATCCTTTGACAGACCATGCCTCACGGGTACGGCGCCACGAGCGGCCCCCAAAAGTATGGGATACACTTTCAACGGCCGGGCCGCGATGAGCGGCGGGGGGTTCGCAACGCAGTTAGCCAGATTTGGCAACCTACCTCGAATGGGACGGGTTCTTCTCGTAATGAGTGAATGGATGGATGGCGGCAACTCGACGACGGATAAGCCATTAATTCTTTCCTGGCGTGGTGTTCGGACCCGGGCATGTATTTTGTCCTCGCGATTCGGCCATCCGCTAGGAGAGACTATTCATTGGAGGAGGGCAATCGTAGCCCATCAAACACCCAAACGGGCCAGCGACAAACTCTCTCTCTCTCTCTCTCTCTCTCTCTCTCTCTCGGTACGATCTACCCCTCGTACAGGGGTCTCGTACCGCAGGAACTGCTGTTGTCTGCAATGTGGGCTTGTTGGGCTGTCAGGTTGCCCATCATTGACGACTGTTTGGGTTTAGCCTCTGTTCTCATGGCTGGATTGGGAGTTTCTCGGCTCCTGGACTACCGTTTGGGGGGTTGTGGGCATGCCGCTCATGGTTTGGCCATCCGGTGCCTGACAGCGGTTTTGCCGTCAGAACTCGCGGGTGGCTGCAGGACTGATCACATTTTGGAACCGGGGGGGGGGGGCTTGAGTGAAGCCCAGGGAACGCGAGTCGAGGGATCCATGCCGCCTGGCACACAACGGCTGCTCTCTGTGTGCCTGGCGTCCTGGTAGTTTGGCCATCGGTGGGCGTCCAGTTTGGGGGGTGCAGCGACGAGCAGTCAAGTGATTCCCGTCTGCGCTATCCTCTGTCCTCACCCGTCGCCCGCCTCTGCGCCACAGTTTCTTTCAACAACGGGTGGTGTGTGTGTTCTTGTGGACCGTGGATGGATCGACCCTCCTGCTTGAAAGGAAACGTCCCGGGCCGCAAGCCGCTGGTATTCGCCGACTGAATCACACTCGCCGAGGATGGAGAAGAGGAAAAAAGAGAATGAGAAAAGACCCATCATGACGGGGCGAGCGGGTTTCAGGCGCTGCCTCTGTACTCATCGGACAGTTTCCCCGTGTTTCGTTGCGCAAAGTGCAAGCTCGTGGAGACAGCAAGGCTCGGTGCAGTGCCATCTGCCCTCTGCCTCACCGCTGCGAGACACCTGGGGTGGAGTGTACCGCATCGGCTTTTCTCGAAACCAACTAGGTGCCCGTGGCGCTCTCGTTGATGTTGTTTTGCAATGGATCCGGATCCACGGGGGTAGAGAAATTTCAACTTCGGTCGTAGGCTAGGACTCCCGGCTCTCTCCACTATGGCCCTGTATGCACCCGCTGTCATGATGATTCCCTCGCGGGTACCATAATTACATAGTGATGCCAACCGGCCTAGCTGGCGCGTCGAGGTGTGACACCATTGACACGAGCAATACACCTCTGGGCCCGACGCCGAAACTGTTTTCCCATCACGTCCCTGACGGAACGGCGCGTAGATTCTACCTTCCCCGGTCTTTACCTGTCTCGTTCTCTTTCTCCTTACTGTTTCGGTCTCTTTCTCTTAATTTTCTCATTTTCTCGTTCTTTCTTTCTCTCTTTCTCTCCTCCAGAGCGATGAAGCAGCCACGTGTGTCGAGTCATGGAGCCATCTTCTGCCAGGATGTCAACATGGGACAGGTTTCGTTCTTTGTTCCACACTCTCACCCGGAATTATGAGGAAAGTAACCAGACAACGCCTCCTGCAGCTGGCCGGCGGGTTTACTTTCTGTCAAGTGATCTCAAACAGGCAATACCCCTACCCCCCGGTCACCCACGGTAGCATGTACATAGTATGGTATGGGTATTTGTGGTGTCAAACTCATTTGCTGTCTGTTTTTTGTGCCCACCAGGCCATGCCGCTGTCGTCGTGGATCCCGGAGCACACACGCCTGTGGCCGTTCGCAAGAAATCCAAGCCCCAAGCCCCAAGCCCCAAGCCCCAGTCGATGAGCACACAGGGCCCTCGACCCGCCTGGCGCTCGTCTCGCATGGGAATGGCCCGCAAGGCCAGGCCGGTCGTCCTCTATCATACAACGTTCGTGGCGTAGTAGCGAGAGGAGAGATAGGGTCTCCACCGCGGGGTGGAGGAAGGGTGTTGTTGTCCATACACCCAGCCCAGTGTATACCTAGCCCAGTATAACCCAACCCAGTATGGGACGCTGGCGCCTGAAGCCCTGAACCGACGCCGTGAGAGGAGAGAGGAGAGGGGAGAGGGGAGAGGGACACAAGGAATAATCACACTCCCCCGTGTCTCTCCCGACAGACCTACCGACCGACCCAGCTGGCACGGGGCAAAGCTGGTAGGTAGTTCTGCCGCCACAGTCACAGCTAATCAGACAATCGTTGCCTACCATCACTCGTCCAATTATTGACCGCCCCTCCGCCGTTACTTGTCACTTTCCGACTAGCAACTCGAGCCCCAAAGAGCGGTGGAAGAAAACCAAACGCTTCTATCCGCCATCTAGCGGTCGACTCCGTGGGTCCCCCCAGAACAAAGGAACTGCATCGAGAATCCTGAACATAACGGAAGACGCCCCCCTCCTATCCACCCCGGGCCCCGGGGACTGCAGGTCCGTTCGGCGTCGGGACTCTTGACGAAGCAGAAGAAGAAGAAGACGAAGAAGAAAAAGAAGGAAGAGGGACTGCTGTCTGTGCTTCCTTGCTCCTTGTCTCAGGTGCACGCCCTTGAGGTTTCCACCAGGTCGCGAGGGTCCCGCGGGATTTGTTGTTTGCGAACTGAAAGAGAGAGAAGAAGCACCGTGTTTTCCCCCTTCGGACCCCTCGTCCCGGGGGTTGCAAGCTTTGCAAGCTCTAACAAGTTGTTCCGGTTTTCTGTATCTCTGTCTGTCTGACTTCATAACCTGGCGACCCCGCCCAGCTACCGGCTGGCATCTATCTACCTTTCGTTCTCTCCCTCTCTCGTTGTTCGCTCTCTCTTTTTCTTCTACCGACGACAAACCGCAGTTAAAGAGACGAATTCGCGAGGCATCTCCCCATCTCCACCCTCGTCCTCGTCCTCGTCACCGTCATGGTATCCGTTGCCAAACTCCTGAACCCGGAGCCCCCGCGGGCTCCGCTTCCGGCATCTCGCCCGTCTTCGGTGTCGTCGGCCCAACACGCTGGAGGTTACCGAAGCGAGCAGACTTCAATAAGCAACCACTCGATCGGAGCGCTGAGGATGCTCGAGAGTGCCAGTTCCAACGCCAACGCCGCTGCCCGACCCAAGGCTAAAGTCACTGTCAACTTTCCTCCTTTTGAAGACCTTGATGAGGCGTCAGTTCGGGAAGTGCAGAGGTTTCAGGTCCATCCTCTCGGCTCCATCCAGGAGACCAGTGAACGGATACCCTATAACAGCGGCAAAAAGGACTTCTTCTCGAAAACTGGCAGAGAGGGATTTGAAGGTGAGAGAAACTCGCGAAGCCTTGGTTGATGCGCAGCGTATGACTGACAACTCGCCTGGATGTAGTCTTTAGCTACAGCTTCAAGGTGCCCGGAAACGATACCAACTACACGGTGATGTGGGACTACAATGTTGGTTTGGTCCGGATGACGTCCTTCTTCAAATGCCGTGGCTATAGCAAGGTCAGTTTCTGACCATCTCCATCTTTCGGGGATATGTTCTTACTGACTGCTTTTACCAGACCACGCCTGCGAAGATGCTGAACATGAACGCTGGTCTCAAAGACATCACCTACAGTATAACGGGGGGTTCCATCAAAGCCCAAGGTGAGGACTCTCCTTGAAAGATGATTTTTGTTCTCTTCTGCAAATACTGACCCCGAGAACACAGGCTACTGGATGCCGTACACCTGTGCCAGAGCCATCTGCGCGACATTCTGCCACAAGATCGCCGGTGCTCTTATCCCGCTCTTCGGCCCTCGGTTCCCCTTCGAGTGCATTCCCGAAAACGCACTCGGACACGGACACATGATGATAAGTAAGGAAATCGTCGAGCGGGCAAAATGCGATGCTACCATGCAGTTTCGACCAGCTCCAGCTCTCCCCAGTCCCCGGCTCTCCCGCAGCGCCAGCCCCTTGATTTCCCAGCGCTCGACCCGGACCCGCGACCCGTACGATTGCCCCTTAGACCACCACCAAGGCCGGCGGTACTTCCCCGGCTCCTACACAGATCACGATGCCGAATACCGCTCGGTGTCATCCGATCACTACAACAACCGCCGCCCTTTCCCACCCATACCACCTCTACGAATCCCCACCTCGCGACCGCTCCCAGGACCACCATCATCGGTCCCAACACCGCAACAGTCCCCAGGGTGGACACCGGTAAACCGACCACCTGCTCCCCAGTTCCATCCCCCACACCCACATCGGCATCGCACTACCCTCTCCCAGCACGGAGGAGGAGGAGGAGACCTCCACGGCGGAGGCAGCATGAGCATGACTTCGTCGTCACCAGCGGCTAACCCGTGGCTCTCGGTCATTCCGAGATCGCCGCCGACTGTGGGCGGCCACAGGCGCGGGGAGGACAATACGCACAGATGGGGTCCGTATCACCCTCGTTCTCACTACCGCCATCGCTCTGACGACCAGTATTATTGGTATTATTCACCGCCGCTGACACATTCGGGATGGCTTTCGAAGGATCAGGATGTGAGACTTGCTCCTTTAAGACTAGGGAATATCCAGAGCAATGCCGGTCCCAACAACAGCAACAGCAGCAGCAGCAGCAGCAGCAGCAGCAGCAGCAGCAGCTACTTTGGTGGGAACCACCACCCCAGCCAGCACAACCACCCCAGCAACAACAATAACAACTCCCACAACAACAACAACAAACGCCGCTTCAGCAAAGTCGATGGCAGCACTGTTACAGAACGCAGCACCCACCCCAGTAACCCCAGCAACACAAGTAAAAGCCCCGAAGACACAGACCTCGACGACGATGACGAAGAAGAAGAAGAAGAGGCCTACGACGCCAGCGACAGCCGCGCAGGCAGCGACAGCCCCGAGTCTGTGGCGGCACCGCCCCCTACTCCAAACTCTCCTTCTCAGCAGGGGCATTCTCCTCCGTCTGCTTTCTCGATCACCACCCGCTCTAATAACCACGGTGGCCCAACCTCAAGCACAACTAGCGATGCCGATGCCGATGGTGGTGGTAGTGGTAGTGGTGGTAGTGGTAGTAGTGGTAATGATACCAAACCCGTTCACACCCGGTATAAAACCCTCGCCGCCAGTCTAGCCTCCATCGCCCGTCGTGCCTCAGAACGAGATGCAGCCATGATGCTTATGCACATGCACATGCGCGGGCATGATACCGGTGATACCGGTGATGATGGTGATGATGATGGTGATGACGATGGTGATGACGATGGTGATGACGATGGTGATGACGGTGATGATTCTAATGGGGAGGAGGAGGAGGGGGAGGAGGAGGGTTGTGTTGGTCTTGGTGGTAAGAAAGCTATTGCTGCTGGGGGTTGGGGGGGATGTGAGGGTGATGGGGATATCGAGCGGGAGAAGGATAAAGACAGGAAGAAGAAGAAGAAGAAGAGTGGGGAGAGTGGTCGGAGTCGGTCTGGAGGTGCGGCTGCGGGTGTGGTGGGTGATACGATTTGTGTTCGGATGCCACAGCTGTCGTCGTTTTCGCGCGGGGAAGGGGGTGGGAGGGATACTGATGTTGATGTTGATGTTGATGTTGGTGTTGATGTTGAGAGGGGTGAGCGTGGGTCTGGGGTTTCGTCGTCTCGGGGGATGGTGGCTGGACCGAGGACGAGGTCGAAGAAGCGGAGGACTTTGGAGCGGTAGGGGGAAAGAAAAGGAGGATTATCTAGGTAGATTGTTAAGGGGTGTGTGGTTGGTTCGGGTTTTCCTCTTTTTCTTCCTTTTTCCTTTTGGATTTTGTTCCATGAGAAGGGTGGGTGTAGGAGGTCAAGGTGCATGGATGGAGTTGGAGGCGTTGAGTTAGTAACGCGATGATTTTTGAGATTGGTTGGTGTTGACGGATACTTGGTTTTGAACAAGTCCTGTTTTCATTACCTATTTTCCTTTTTATTTGTACCTCGTCTTGTTTTTTGACCCGGCATTCATTCTTAGGTTGCTACTACTACTACTACCGCGACTCGAATTCCGCGCTCCTTCTGCCCCTTTCTTCAACATCCCTTTATAACCCATTCCTGCGCTAGTCCTTCCATCACTCTCTCCCTTAGGGTTGATCAAGGGAAAAGTCCGTATGGATTTCACGTAACCACTTACACTCTTTCCCCCGGTGGGGGAGATAAGGTGTAGGTGGTCAGCTTTTTGGCTTTTTTTTTTTCATCTCTCCTTTTACTCTTTACTCCCTCGTCTGGTTTATGCCTTAATTCCCCCAACGCCTGGAAAGGAAATGTCGGGTAATAAAACGGTTGCAAGTTGATAGTAGGATATGAGAGTTAGTACCTACGGCGAGGGCACAAAAGACTGAGCTTCATCGTGGCCCTGAAGCGTTTGTTTGTATGCCTTGTTTTATCATACGTGGAGATGGGAGTATCATGATTCGGGGTACTTGATCAGGCAGTATGTTGCTAATGTCTGGTAGGGATGATAATGCAGTCTTGATTTCCCCTGTAACAATACTTGTGCAATGTACAGTACGTGTCACGCGGTATGGAGAGTCATAGTCTTGTTTTCCTTCTATGAGTGGGCTCTAAGCTCACTGGGAAACATCTTTTCTACACCTCCTCTTCAATCGGGTATCACGCCGCGTTCTTTGTTTTATTGCCCACCCTTTTTCACCTTGTCCTCTTTGTACTCTTTTATCCACCCACTTGACCTCGCTTTTGGCACAACAAACACCTTCAACAAATTATCCACAACTTCCACCGCCCCGTCCTTCAGCAAGTTCAACAGCGGCACCTTGTTCCCAATCCTCAATAGCCCATTCCCAGTCTCAACAAAGCAGTCGACCCCCGCAGGGCTGTATTCGCCCGTTCGGTCCCATGGCAGCGGGAAAACGTAACCAAAATGCTGCTGCAGGCTCTCCCGCTCGCTAAACGCCTTGATGAAGTCGCTCTCAAAATGGCAGGGATATAGTAATATCGTTGGAAACACCAGTGCGCTGGTTGGATCCAGTTCATCCGGGGACAGCATAACCCTGGCGTCCTCCATATCTGGTGGGCGGCCTGTGGAGCGCATCTTGATCCCCCGCGCCTTCAGCGCCACCTGGAGGAGCTTCTTCTTTTGGCGCTCGGCGGAGAGCCGGTCTTCTTCGCGTTTCCGCTTGGTGGCGTCGGTGCCGGCCGTCTTGATGATGTCCTGCGCGAGGGCAAGCAGTGGCTTGTTGGAGGAGTCGATTTCGAGGCCCCGTGCGCATGCGTCGTCCGCCTCGGTAATCTTGTTCACGGCTAGAAGGGCACGTGCGGAACGGTAGAAAGCCTTGATGTTGCGCGGGTTGAGGCGGAGGGCGGCCGCGCAGTCGAGCGTACAGGAGCGGTAGTTGCTCAGTTCGAGATGGCAGGCTGCGCGGTTGATGTAGAGCGTTTCCAACAGAGCCCGTTCCGATTTGATCTCCTCGGGATTTTCGGGAACTTCCTCTAGGTCATCTTCCTGTGCTGGTTGTTCCGGTTTGTCCTCCTCCAAGTCCGGTTTCGTATCCTTATCCGCTTCTGGATTGAACTTGACCTCATCGACGGCCTTAGGCACCATTTTCTTCCCGCCTTTCGACCTCCGTAGCTCTTCTGCGGCGAGAACCGCGACACCCTTGCCATAGAACTCCTTTGCATCCGCCCAATGCTTTCCTCGGAAACACTCGTTCCCTTGCTCCTTGAAATTGGCCGCGTTCTCCAGGGGGGTGCCGTCGTAGGCAAGAGCCTGCAGCGCCGCCAGTTCGTCATTATCCTCGGACCCATCCAGCTCGGTCATGAACATTGGGTGTTTCTTGAGGTCGGCCACCGTTTCGTCGAGAGTCAGGCCCGCATTGAGGGTACGGCCGGGGGGGAGGTCCGGTACCATGGAGAGAATATCTGGGGCTGGCCCTGGTGTTGGGGCCGGTGCTGTGGTTGACTTATTGTTTGACTCGCCTAAGCTGAGTGACTCGGTGTTTTTGGTGATTTGATCCATTTTGGAGAGCTCGCCGATTGCCGGCGGTGTTCTGAGCCCTGAACGACTTGTCGAGATAATAGAGCGGGGTAATCCCCAAGCACTTGAAGGCTCTTATCAATACTAGAAAAATGTTACTGCTGGTTTGCCCCCTGAATTTTGTTTACTCCCGACCCTAGTCTGTTGTTGAGGTGAACCCCTCTATGGCTGCATGGGTGATGAGCCAGCTTGAGGCGGGGCAGATGAAAAAAAAGGCCCCTTACCGAGGACCCGCTTCCAACCCTAACCCTCATTACAGTGTGGGACGGATCTCCGTTTGCACTTCTTTCTCGGTTTACAAGCCGTGTTGGAAGGTAACGTTAAAGGTGAAAACAAAGCGGAAGGTGTGACTCTTTGTCCTAGATCCATGGATTCCGTACCATACACGACACTCTCTCATGCCTTCGTCCGGTGTAAAATACATGGTAGTTCACGGACCTCCAGTGGTGATGGGAGTCAGTTTAAATTGGAAGGCCCCACCGCGGTCACGAGGTGACGCGCGGAAATCTGGCAGCCGATCCCCCCACTTGCAGGGATGCCGCGTCTTCCACAATGCAAGAAACGCGACTGCGTCCCTCCCACATTCCAACACCCAGTAAAATCTGTTTGCGTGCCTCCGCCCCGATCTCCACCAAACACACCCGGCTTGTCATCGTTATCGATTATCTCCCACTGCCTCGTTGGCACCAGCGCCCAGATAGATTATTATGGCAGCGGTGAAGCCTGAACCCGTGGATGATGACCCGGGCTGCGGGGTCATTGCCGCCGTGAAAGAGGCCGGCTCGGCGAAGGAGACCCCAAACACTGACAACAACCATGGCGCGAGTCTACTCCAGAAACTCATCGTGCCCGGCAACCCGCCAGAGCTTCTCGAAGGGGGTGTAAAGATTGGTCTTCAAGTATTGGGGACCTTGAAAACACCGTTGGCCGACATGAGCAACTCCGCTTCGGGCGCCCAGTGGTTAGAATCAATTAACCAACTGGAGTCCCTTGCGAAGCCCGCGCGGACCATCGTGGGCGTGGTGGGAAATACGGGCGCCGGAAAATCTTCTGTGATTAGTGCGGTTCTCGACGAGGAAAGGTACGCAGATATTGATAGGGAACCTCACCGGCTAGGGTGTAGCTTATTTTCCTCACAAAATACTAGGCTTCTCCCCACAAATTGCATGCGAGCTTGCACGGCATCTCCAACCGAGATATCTTACAACCATTCCCAAGACCCTGCCGAGTTGTATCGGGCCGAGGTCGAGTTTATCACGGCGGATGATTGGCTCCAAGACCTCCGGGGTCTTTACATCGACCTTATCGACGGTGGCGGCGGAGTCTCGCGGGACTGCACGAATCAAGACAGCGATGCCGGTGTTGCCTACGCCAAGATCAAAGCCGTCTATCCCAAACTAACGAGGGAGATGATTGCCGATGCGACTCCTGAGCATCTTGCTGGAAAACCTTCGGTCGTTCGGATTCTCGGGACCGTCAGAGTACTCCGTGCGACGACGGCCGGGAGCTTATACCGTCAGCTACAAGAATATGTCGACAGCAAGGAGAAGAACACCGACAAGCTCATGGAGTACTGGCCGCTGATCAAAGTCGTCCGCATCTACACCAAAGCGTCTGCCTTGTCAACGGGGGCTTGTCTGGTTGACCTCCCGGGTGTCCAAGACTCCAACGCGGCGCGTGCGGCGGTTGCTGCTAACTACATGAAATCATGTACGGGGTTGTGGATTGTTGCTCCGATCACCCGTGCGGTGGACGATAAGACGGCTAAATCACTATTGGGAGATTCCTTCAGGTACGTTTCCCCCCTCCACCACATCACCACCATGATGAGTCACAACATCTAATTGGTTTGACAGACGCCAGTTGAAATACGATGGTACTTACTCGGCCGTGACATTCATTTGTTCCAAAACGGACGACATCTCCGTCACAGAGGCAGCGGAGAGTTTGGGCATCGAGGAAGAAGTCTCTGAATCATGGGCTCGCGTCCGTGAGCTGTCAGACGATATTAAGAAACAAAAATCCGACATGGCCGACCTCAGAGACGAGCGAGATGTCTGCCTCGACCTCATCGACAATATTGAGCAAGCCTATGATGAGTGGGAAATTCTCGGTAGCAAGTTGGCAGGCGGAACCACGGTCTATGCGTCCCCCACCTCGCCCAGCAAAAAGCGCAAGCGGAAAACTCGCCCCAGGGGTAGTCGAAAGGGGCGCAACTCGAGCGATGTTGATAGCGATTCCTCAGATCCAGATGGTTCCGATTCTAGTGATAAGGAGAACCAGGACGCTCGGGGAGAGCCACTCACGTCGGATGAGATTGATACCAAACTCGCGTCCTTGAAAGGCGAGAAAAAGGAGCTGCGAGACAAGAAGAAGGGGATTGATGAGCATGTCAAGGCCCTTCGCGAGGCCATAAAGGAGCTCACCGCGGAGAAAGACACGATTCTCGCCGAGTTGAAGGCCGTGTGCATTCAGGGGAGAAACCAGTACTCGAAAACGGCGATCAAACAGGATTTCGCAATGGGTATCAAAGAGTAAGAAGGCCCCGGATCTACCCAGCTGCCATGAAACCAACTGATACAACTTTCCAGGCTCGACCAGGAAACAGCCGTGGAGGAAGATGAGGCGAATTTTGACCCAGAGGTTGACCTTCGCGATTATGATGCGGTAGCCGCATCTCTCCCTGTGTTCTGTGTTTCTAGCCGTGCATTTCAGAAGCTGAGTGGCCGGCTGGAAAAGGATGACTTTAATGGTGCCGGATTTCAGTCCCTCGAGGATACCGAGATCCCCCAGTTGCAGGCACATGCCAAGAAACTCACAGAGGCCAGCCGGACCGCCAACTCTCGGCGGTTTCTCACTGAGCTCATACAGCTCCTGAACTCCATCAAGATGTGGGCGTCTGAAGACCAAGCGACACCAGCCGTGTCGGGTACCGAGAAGGCGGAGAAAGAGACAGAGTTGCGGGAGCAGCTTAAGCAGTTGGACAAGGTTCGCGGAGATTCGGCATCAATGTAGAGGTACTTATCTAGCTGACTCTGACTAGTATTTTGACCTCCTGCTGAGGCATTGCATAGCTTCCGTACGACAAGTATTTGCTGAGCATATCTATGCCAACTTTGCTCGATACATACCTGTGGCTTTCCAAACAGCGGTGCCCACAGCGAGACAATGGGGTGCCCCCCGAGGAGAAGGAGGCATGCTTTGGGGGACCTACAAAGCAACTTGCAGGAGGGGTGGCGCCTTTACCGGTAGCGCCGGTCCCCGCGACTTCAACGACGAGCTTTTCCTCCCCATCTCAAAACACGTCGCCGCCGGCTGGGAGCGCGCCTTTGTCCGACGCCTGCCCGGAGTCATTGACGGTTTTCTCGGCGCGGTTCGCGAGAGCCTGACCGAATTCCATTTCAAGGCAGTCACAACTGCGGAAGCCTCCGGAGTTCATGCCGGCGGGCTGAATATCCTAGCCCAACAGCTCCAAACGCATGTTGAGTCGGTGAACCAGATGGGCGTTGAGGGCCTAAAAATTGCCCAGGACATCCAGCGAGACGCAAATCGGGGGTTTACCCCTGTGATCCAGCAGGAAATGATGCCCGTTTACGAAGACTGTGTGCAGGAACGCGGTACGTAGTCTTCCCTCCCCCCTTCGAGCTTTTTAAAATTCATGAACTCTAATTAACATATTCCTCAGGAGTCGGCTCCTACATGCGCATGAAGAACCTGATGCTAGCACATGTCGAAGATCGGCGCGAATTTATGTTCCGCAACGCGACGGGTACCGTGCAGCAACAGCTCGAGGTGCTGTGCCAACAGGTTGGCGACTATTTCACTGCGGGCATCCAGGAGTTGTCCAAGCGCATCGCGCGAGATTATCTCGGTGTCATCGCCGGTGTGCATACACTGGCCACCGGTGTCTCGGCTCAAGCCGAGCGTGAACTGCGCAGGGCCATCAAATTGAGGCTTATCCATGCTGACCGGAGCTTCGCCGTGCTCTTTCCGGAGTTGCTTAGTGGGCATGATGCTGGTGAGAAGTGGAAGGAAGAGGAGGAGAAGGAGGAGGAGAAGGAGGAGGTGGAGGAGGAGGAGGAGGAGGTGGAGGACTACGATGAGGAGCCGGGCTTGGACCCGGAGTATGCGGATTATCTGGCCGCCTGCGAAGAAGGAGGTGGTAGCGAGGAGTCAGTGGCAGAATGGGGGGTGAAGTCTGAGCCTGAGGTTGATGAGGAGTACCTTTCGTGTTAGAGGATTGTTTTGTTGTTTTTCGGTTTGGCGGCGCAAGGGGTTACCGAGGGGCAAAAGGCTGGGGTGGATGTTTGCTGGAGGAAGGTGGCTTTTTGCGATTTGCGATGCTTTGGCGTCTATGGAATTGGGTGTTTGTATGTACAGTACATGTACAACTAATAGGCGTGCTGGCCTGTTTTAAGGGCTGCGGGAGACTGGCTGCCGCCAATCCGCACTAGCGGGCGCATGATAGAAGAGTGCAATCTTAGTTGGGAAGACGAGAATAGGCAATAGCGGTGACTTCCTAGCACGTGCCTAGGTATCGAGCGAATGTCTAGTGTTTAAGGAGGTGCTTGGGATGAGGTGGGGTGGGTGGTGAGGGAGCAACCCTAACCCGAAGGGGTATCCAACACAGTGTAATCATTGCGCAAACTGTGCAAACACACACAGTGCGAGACAGCAAGTGATCGGCCCTCTTGCAGCCACGAATTAAAGGACTTAATCCCCAATTATCCAACAACCGCCTTCCCATATCAATTTGATGGGAAACAGCAAACCGCCATGTCGCACATGGAAAACCCCCTGGCGACGCCAGACCAACTATTCCAGCGCCGCTCCTTGGGCTCCCTCCCCATTGACCTCCAAGATATCATTTTCTTCGCGACACAATGTCTAACCCAAGCCGCCGGTCTCCTCCTTCAACTTCCACAATCCGTCACAGCACAAGCCAATGTGTTGCTGGCGCGATACTGGCTCGTCGAGCCGATGATGTCACACGAGTTTAGTGTAAGCCTCTTTTTCTTTTCCTCCCTGCTCCCCCTCCTTTTTATCAAACCGATATTGCCCCGACTATTCGTACTTTGGAACCTTCACTTACTTACCATTACCCCCCTCCCCGCAGGAGGTCTCAGCAGCAATCCTCTACCTCACCGCCAAACTCTCCCCCCACCCTCGCTCCCCCCGCGACATCTCCAACGTCTACGCCTACCTCACCTCCCCCTCATCCTCCCTCTTCCACCACCCCTCCGCCGCACCACCCCCGCCAATACCAAATCCCCAAGACTCATCATCATCGACCCACTACCTCTCCGAATCAACTTACCAAGCCTTCCACACCCGCCTCCTCGCCCTCGAAGCACGCGTCCTTTATGCCTTGGGCTTCGACACCCACGTTGCGCTGCCTTATTCGTTGGCCGTGACTTACCTGCAAGCTCTCGATTTCCTGTTACTCCCCCCCAGCAGCAGCGGGGGCACAAGGGGAGACAGCACCAGCGAGCAAGGCAAAGGCAAAGGCAAAACCAAGGGGGAAAAAACAAGCACAAAAAACGCCCTAGCCCACCTAACCCTCACCTACCTAACAACCGCCCTCCTCTCCCCCCAACACCTCTACCTCACCTCCCCCCCCTCCTCCCTCGCCACCGCAGCCATCTACAACGCCGCGCGGGACTTGGGGGCCAAGATGCCTGCGTGCGAATGGTGGGAGGTGTTCGATGTGGACCGGGAAGAACTGGGGTTTTTGGTGGTGGGGATGAGGAGTGTGGAGGGATGGGGGAGGAGGATGAGGGGGGATATGGAGGGGATGATGATGCGGGGGGGGGGGGGGGGGGGGGGGGGGGGGGGGGTGGTGGGGGGGGGGGGGGGGGGGGGGGGGGGAGGGGGGGGGGTATTGAGGCGGGGGGATGTGGAGGGGGAGTTGGGACGGAGGGGGATTAGGGTTGTGCCATCGGTGGTGTCACCGGTGGGGGGAGGGGGAGGAGGAGGAGGAGAAGGAGGGGGGGATATGGAGGAGGAGATGGCGAGGAGGATGGATGAGAAGATGGCTGGGTTGGAGGGATAGATGTAATTACTAGAGGGAGCGAAGTCACAAATGGATTAAGTGTCTGGCAAGTGATAGCACTAAAATGGTATAAACGTTCAGTTTATTGGAGCACACAATACACAATATCTACACATTGATCGCAACCCAAGAGGCTGGCTGGTAAACAAGACCTTAGTAGTCAGGAAACACGCAAAGGAAACCGAAACCCGTTGTTGACCTTGGCCCAAGCACCGGAAGGAAACCCCGATACACCCCCAAAGTAAGAGAAAGGAAAACGAGAGAAAAGAGGCCAGAAAAGAAGAAATAAACAGGAAACACCGATATTCCTCACATCGTCCAAAGCGTACAAGAACACGTTTCAACGTCCCCCATCAACCATAATAACGTCCCTTATCGGGTGAGTCATGTCATGGTCGCCATCCGTTCCGTCGTTGAAGAGGCATCAAAAGGTCATCCTCGCGTCCATCCGCCTCGTTCCACCTTCATAATCATATACCCGCCGAAAGACCCACCACTCACCCCACTTGGCCAGATCCCTATCCAGTCCCTTTTAACCGTTTTGGTTTTGAGAATCCTTTGTGTAAACACCGTCCGAAGGAGACAAAACAAAAGAGAAAAACAACAGACCTTTCAACGCCAACCGAGAAAGCATTGCTCGCACCAAGGAAATAACAAAAGGGGAATTCGCAACACCGACCGGAGAACCCGCCAAGTACAGAGAAAATAACCGATCGCAGACAAGTAGCGAAGCCCAGGATAAAAAAAAATAAAACGTTGAAAAGAATCAGACCCGAACACATTAAAGTGCTAGGCCGGTGCCGTCGCCGGTCCACCGGTACAACGCCAAGAGCTCCCTTCGGCGCTGGTGTTGCTCGCCAAGGTCCTCGGGCACACGGCCACGGACCTGGGCGAGGGCGCTACGCATAACTCGGCTAAAGTTGCGCTATTGAGAAGAAATTGTTAGTCGATCTGCTCATCGCTCTGAATTTGTGTGTAAATGTGTGAAAGGAGGAGGAAACAAACCTGGTACTCAGTGTTGAGCGTCACGACACACGCCTCATGGGCGCGAATGATGGTCTCGCAGGCCTTGACCACGCTGGGCGACGCCTCGAGCTGTAGCTTGTCGGCAATCAGTAGCAACAGGAACGAGCCCTGCAGCAGGTAGATTCCGAAGAAGAAGGGCATGAACTCGAGGCCCGGGTCGAACTCGAGGATGTTGCTGATGGCCTCGGCAGCGCTGACGGCGTGGCCGGTGGCGGTGATGAACCCCTGGCTGCTGATCCAGAGGTCGTTGTCGTCAAGGAGGTTGATGGGATCCCACTTGCCCGTGAGCAAGATGTGCAGCACGTGCATGACGTGAGTGCCGTATGCCATCACAATGCGGGTCTGGATGTCACTCTCGGTCATGCGACTGGAGGACGTGTGCGCGCTGTGGACGCTGTGGCCGGATGGGGTGCCAGGGAGGTCGTTGGAGGCCGTGGGAACGCCGGCTGCCTCGGCGGCCTTCTCGTCGGCGGCTTGTGCTTGTGCGCTGAGGCTGAGGTGACGCTGCTCGAACTTCTTTAGGCTCTGCTCATACATGTCTAAGTGGCGGGTAATCTCGGAAGTCTGGTCGTCCCACTCGCGAGAGGCACGGAAGCCCACGCCGAAGCGCGGGTGGTTCCTCGCGTGGTTAAGGTCGACGATCTCGCCGAGGATAGTCATTAAGGGTAGGAAGTAACCGAAAATGCTGTGGCCGGTGCAGACGAACGAGGGACCCCGGGACCGGGTCGGTGGGGCCTCAGAATCCTCGGATGCTGTGAGGACGTTTGGATCGGTGTAGGCGTGGAAGCTACCGTTTTGGTAGTCGGTATCATCCATCGGCTGGAATAGACCTTCACACTCGATATCGAGCAAGAAAAGCGGCCGGTTGTAGCAAAGAGCTAGATGGCGGTCCACAATGTAGACTAGCCACCAGATTCGCCGCCGTTCCTCGCGCTCTTCCTCCGTGATGACGCCCGGGATGCTCATCTCGGATCCGTGGCCCTCGCCGTCCATGTCCGCAGATCCGCCCTGGCGGCTTGCGGGGGCATTTTGTGGAAGCTCTCGCCCGAGCTTCAGTTCACGAGCCAGAGACCACGCGGCATTCCACCACCGCAGGCTCGCGCCCTTGTATTCACTCGCTGACACCACAGTGGCTAGGTGGATATAAGTAATCACGTCATCTAGCGTACCAGCAGCGCCAAACGCGCCCGACTCGCTAGTCAGAGCCTCCATGCTGATGGACCCGGGGAGCGCCACGCCGAGACCGCCCAGAGCAACGCCATCGACAATCGGGCTCGAGACGGGCGAGGCTTCTTCCGACGGCGTGTGGATGAGCGGCTTGAGGAGGCTAACGGTGAGTTCGAGGAGCTTCTGACAGATCTTGCCGCGCGCTGAGGGCACACTGGTCAGGAACTGAGCGTCGCTCGTTTGCGCGGCAACCCAGAGCATGCTCGCCAACAGGGCGGGTTGGCATTGGCGGGGCTTGCTCGGGTGTAGGAAAGATCTCTTGCGGAAGACGAAGCCGAGGACGTAGGGTGACATGGGGTGCATTTGGGCCGAGGACGAGCTCGCAAAGTACAGGTCGATGAGGTCGCAAGCCAGAGGCAGGGGAATGATGTTGCCCAGGTGGGGAACCAGCGGCTCCAAGACGGGGTATCGGAGATGCGAGTGGCCGTAACCGCCCTGCGGTGGCATGTGCTGAGCGAACTGAGGCGGTGGTGAGGACATGTTCATCCAGCCGCCCGGTGATCCTGGCTCTCCGCCCATCGGATAGGCGCTGAGCGGGCTGTTGGCGAGGCGGAAGCCATTGGGGGGGTTTGCCGGGTAGCCACTCGGGCTTTGTGTTTGCAGGGCGTACGGGAGATCGGGGTAGCTGGACATGTTGCCTTGGTTGCCCGGGTACGGTCCATGGGGCGGGCCGTTCATCATGTGTGCGTGTGCGCTCATCTGGCGCTCATACGGCGACGGGTGAACACCACCGTATCCATTCAGGTCCATCGCCGTCGGGCTTTCGAGGTGTTCCCTGTCCATGGCCCCTGGGTGGTGGCCCCCCATATGTCCTGGGTGGGCGCTGATTTCACCCAACGTGTCGATGCTTCCGGTCCTTTGTCCTCGCATCTGCTCGTCCGACATCTCTGTCACGCTTTTCTCCGATGCGGGAGGCTGGTCAGTGTTTAGGGTCAAGACCGGCTTGGTGCTGCTGCTCGGAGTGTCACTCCGGCTCTCCGCAGACCGATCGGCCTCGCTTGGTTGATCCTCGGATTTCGTGCCAGTCTGTCCGCCCTGGGCTGCGGCTGCAGCGGCCTGAGCTGCGGCTTGTTGTGCGAGATCCTTGCGGGACGCCTTGCCACGCTTCTTCCGTTCGCGAATGTATTCGCAGCCCAGTTGGAACTCTATCCAAGGTTAGAAGGACGGATGCGGCTCAGGAAACGGACAGCTCAAAACTCTAATCCTAACTCACCGATACAATGGGCACAGGGGTGCTGGCCGTCACACTTTGTCCGGAGCTGGTTGCACTGATCGCACGCCCTGCTAATCCTTCTCCGAATTGGCCCTGATGTGCCCGCGGACCTCGCTGAGGGCCCGTAAGGGTGTTGCCTGTGCTTCGGTTGTGGGCCGGACCGAGCGAGGTGTGGGCTGTGGACGCCAACGTGTTGTTGAAGCTGTTGGAGGGCGTAGTGAGAGCCGGGAGCGAGGGGGTCAAGCCCCGCGGCGTGAAGGTGGCCGGCTGGGACGTGGCCATTCGACAGAAGTGTCGAGGAAGGAATGTGGTAGGGGGAGAACCGGTGGAGCGGATTCGACAACATGGTGAAGGCTGAAGTAGAACAAGGCTGGTGGGAAAGGGTAAGATGGCGAAATTAGCAACTGAAGAGAGAGGTCGTCAAGACCCTGGATTAGAACATATGAAGACGGCCGGCTTCGAGCGAGTGCGGGCAGTTGGTTGAAGCGATGTTGTGTTTGGAAGGGACAGGCGAGGAGAGAGGGGCCGGGGGGCAGCGAGGTAGAGCTTTCTATGGTGATGGGGGGGTGAAAGGCATCTATATCCGAGCTTCGTGGCGTGTTTGCCGGACCCAGGGTTGGGGAACGGCAACCGGACGGACCGAAGTGAGCTTCCTTCAACGGAAAGGTTCGTCGTGTTAGTGACCAGCATGAGCATTAATGGGTGGACTGGGATCGCATTGACAGCCACACCACAGAAGCGCTGGAAGCTGATCCGCGCGGACGGCGGACCTGAGTGAAGGCGGCTCGCCCAACCGCACAGTGAGTGACTGACTGGAGCACCTTGTCCCGGACGGCGGGGTTGGGGTAGGAAGACTGTGACGGGGGAGGGGGGGTGGAGTGGCAAGGGGCGTGTGCCTGGAACAGGGGGCCGAACCGACGAACAGGGGAAGGGGGTCGGGATGGAAAAGAAACAAGTCTTCCCTGAGAAGAACATGGATGACAGAATAGTGGATGAGAGCGTCAACATACTGAGTCCACGTCAAGACAACCTCTAGAAGGAGGCGAGGATAAAACAGAGGCCGGTCTGTCTGCGATGCAAGATAAATAATCCCTAGACAGCTGTCTCTTGTCGTAGAGGTTATTTCAACCCCGTTGGATTCGAGGAACGTTGTCGAAGACGCCTTGGTGAACGTGAATTTTTCGTCGAGTTAACTAGCAAGCCTCCTTGTTGATGGCGAGAGGTGCCGGTATTGCTAGCTCTCGGGTCAGGGGCGATGTGCCGGATAGTATTGCTCGTGAGGGGCCGGAAACTGCAAGAGTCTCCAAAGGGGCCAAAAGATTCCCAGTTCGAACGGGTGAGCAAATCGGTAAATTTTTGACGCAGTGCCTTTCTCTTGGGGTACGTTTTGCGAGTTTGGCTCGTTGGCTTGGCGGACATGCACAGCAGCACAAGATGAGACGGGATACGATTGGTGTGGCTGCGTCGTCCTTGGTCCAGCACAATATCGAGTATGAACGTTATATTGCAAGGGCAATATAAGTCGGCGGGACGGGAGGTTGTCGTTGGGGGAAGGGGGCGTCGTTGAGCGAGCGCGGGGCGGGTAGCGTTGTGTGGGAGAGTTGGGTCGGACAGTCGCGAATTCTGGGGAATGCGCCTTCGTCCGGGCCTGCTGAGGATATATGGACCTCTTCAACTGTTCTCCCGCAGAACTGCCAGCAAGCTTCCAGCACCATCAGACCAGGGCTTGCCATTAACAGGGGTCAAGGTGGTGGTCGTGGTGGAGAAAAGTGCAACTCCACCATCTTTCACAGCGGCACTCCCATCCCCGTCGCCAGCATCAAAGCGCACCTGGACACCTTCTAGCGCAGCGCTAACGAGGCTTCTCTGCCCGGGTATCGCTAGCATACGGCGGACATCGGCGCTGGGGTTCTCGGAGGCTCATCAGCGTTGCTTCACCGTTTGGGGTTCAATTTCACCGCACGAACACCCGCCGTTTCTTTCCCCAATTTCTGCCTTCGCGCACCTCCTTTGTCAAATTCGAGCGCTAGGTGGACGGTGCCTGAGTTCATGGAGGCATAAAAAGATGCATATAGGTTGTCGGCCATCCGGCTACGGGCCGTTGTGAGCAACTGTCGCACCCCTGTCGAACGAGTTGGGATGCCGCTGTTCAGCCATGGCGGAGCGAGCTGTCAGCGAGAGCGGCTCCATTCTCCACGACGCAGTGGGGTGACGGTGGGTGTCTTGGGTGTGTCACCCACCCACCAGACCACCAGACCACTGCTGCAATCCAGGCACGGCCTCCGAAAGGCTGGGGGTTCGGAGCCAGACCGGATCGCCAGTTCGGCCGTCCTTCGGGCGCCCAATGCCTCCCTGTTCAGAACAATTGCTGAGGGGCTCAGTGCGATGGAGTTGCACCGTCTTGCATGTCGAGGCCCCTGTCACTTTGGCTTCAGGTGAGATGGAACCTGCACCGAAGCACAGAAGCTGCTGGGTCGTGACCTTTGGTGGCCATCCCGATGCGCCACGCGCTGCAAATCACTTGTTATTTGTTGTCGTGTCGAAGACGCCTGCGGCCGGGGACGGAAGCATCGAGCGAAACTTCCATGTTTGTCGGAGGGTGTGCCGAGCAACCCTGGACGCTGGGCGGTCGAGATTCCAAGAGCGGCTTGTTCGAAGTCGATCTGCGGAGGCGATTATTTGAGGGGTAGACTCCCACATGCTCTCAGGCCCGTGGGCTTCTTCGTTCCATGGCTCGAAACACCGGGTCCCATCGAGCCCACACCCCCGTCGACATTGGCAAAGAAAACCGGCAGATGGCGGGTGTCAGCAAGAGAGTGATGTGGATTCCCCGCCAAGACTCACACGTCGAGAGAATTTTGTACACTACGCGGCCGAGTTGGGTCTAAAATTTTGCAAACAACCTGGGGAAGGCGCGAGTGTCATTACTGTAACTATGGAAGGGGCGAAGGCACCCTCGGCCCGACCAAAAAGACGTCCGTGACTTCCAATTGTCTTGCAAATGGCGTGATGGGTCTCGTTGAACTTGCCTTCTCAGCCACGAGAATTCTCGAGGGAGTCTGAAGCAGGCGGAGAAACTATTCGTACACGAAAGAGTCACGAGGAACACAAATCCTAGTGGCAAGTTCGCCCGCCCCACAACCTCTCTTCCATTGCATTGACATCAAAGTAAAACTAGACTGGCGGGATTGGTAAACCCCACCAACCAATATCGTGATGCCTCCAACCCTCCTTCACGCCCACCATGGATGACGTCCCCCCAGCAAGCCAATCCTGGTCTCCTCAGCCTCTTACATGCCTTCGGCTTCTTCGGAGGGGCGCTATGTCTCAAATTGCAGAGCCAGCGTTTTGTTACTGGCGTCTTGGCCTCAGCTTTGGTTCACGCGGCAAATCAATATCGATATCCCTTAGGTCACCAATTATCGGTCGAAAAAAGCGGCGAAAAGGGACAGAGTGCAGGGCAGTTGTCATGAACTCAATGCTCAGCGCTAGGAGCAACTTGCACAATCGAGAACATGGTACAGAACAGACGACGTAAAACAAATCTAATTGACTGGACCAATCAATCATGGGGCCGCCTGATTGAACGGCCTGCAGCTTGATCCTCGGACCGCACAATGCAGGTAGGTGCGTCTACCAAACGGCGGTATTCCTCCGCAGCCACATCCGAATACATACTCTTGATTTCGTTGTCTAAAATGGGACGAATATGGAAAGTACGCTTGGTCGACACAGGTATTTTTTGGAAAGAGCGTTGCCGACTTAACGAGGCAATCACAGCTTAATAGCCGACAATCGTGTTCATTGTCGAGAGGTTACCTACCGGCGCCCCGTTTCCTCTTCGCTCAACGAAGAGTTAGTTGTTTATTGTCTAGTTCTCAAGCCCTCGGCTCTTCCCCGGAGCTGTAAACTCACCAGCCTTACAGCTGGTTTCCGTGTGCCGCTCGAGCAGGAGCTTCCACGGGCGGTTCTCGGAGACTGCAGCTGTCGGCCCCAACGCCACATATGCAGCTGCAGCGGCGGGTTGGTACCGACAACAACTCATGGCGCGGGGCCTCCTCCACAAGTCCCGCCTGTTGTTGAACAAATTCGGCATGGACCGATTGGCTCTCCCCGCACCAAAGCTTGGGGTCCCCAGGCACTTTTTTTTTCGACCTCACCGCTCACCGTGTCACCGTGTGAACGAAGGTTTCGATTTTCGGTCCTGCCGGGTCATGTTCACAGGATCCGAACAGGTTGGGCATGGGACACAGAGCAAGGTATCCAAGGCTTCTCAGACCCTGGACGTCGTTTGTTTCGCTCCCATTCTGGTCGACGCAGCACGAAGAATAGAGGCCCACAAAACCTCGCATCTTTTTCTGGACTCGGCGGAGTTGGGGTCGTCGGCCCAGCGCGATCCATCAACGGCCGACGGACCGACACTCCACATGCAGGCAAGATCGAGCCACCGTTAGCGGGGCTATTCTTCCTCTGATTCGCTGGAACCCCTGTTTGGTTTTTGGGCCAATTTTGGAGCCCCGCAAGCATATGCCCAATGAGGACACTCACCGAAGACCCACAATGGAGTCGTTCCCCGAAACCCCGTCCAGCTCGTGGAGATTGTGGGGATGCTGCATCTGACTGATCTCTCTCAACGACAGTCGCCTTAGATGCTCATCGTTGACGGACCGTTACCTTCTTCACAAGCCGACAACACTCGCTTGAGCGCAAACATGGAGTTGAAATGGCCGGGGATCAACCAACAAAACACCAACGGCCCGAAATTCAGAGATTTGACCCTGCTCACCGGGTCGAGCTCATTCATCAGCTGGTCGGCGCGACTTGGAAGAGTCTCATCGGAGCCAATCAACCGCGATTCACCCGTTCACATCCCTTCTCCCGTGGCTTCCACATGGCAAGGATACGCGTTCCGCCCGCCTTCCAGAAGGCTTCGATCAAATGTTCGGCGCCGGGGCGCCGCCCGATGAAACTTTTTGACGAGGGTGGCTTGTTCGCAGCCCAAACCCGGAGAGGAAGTGATGCGACGGCTTCGGCAACGACATCGAAACCTTGATCTCAAAGAGGTTGGCGGGCAGGCAAGCCACTGGCTGGTGCATCACGGGGTGCTGGCGCCGGAAGCCCCATCGGCAGTTCCTGACCAAAAATTCTCCGTGGCCGCGTTCTCCACTGTTCGTTCGCCTGCTGGAGAGGGATGCGCACCAGGTTTCGCATGGATGAACAATGTTGATGATGACAGCGGTCTCTTCCAAACATAACTCCATAAGCCCGCCGGCCCCCAGTTGACGCTTGTTTATCTGCCAAAAGCAGGTCGAGCGAAACTCTGTTGCCCGACCCTGTCTGTCACAA